CTCTTCCTTTGCTGTCTTGCCCACTGCTTCCTTGCAGTGTATTCAATAAACTTCTCTTTTAAAAAATAAGAAAATAAATAAATTAATGCACAAATCACAGTATTTAATGCAGTGCTATCAGTATTGATGGGCAGCATCCTATCAGGTATAATGATAAAGCATTTAACAATCATTGTTTTGCTGAAAAATTCCTTTAGATAAGGTATTGCCTAGCAGCCATTTTTCATTCTCAAACTATTCTCACAGTGACACTTTAATGGAAAAAGAGATACTACCTGGAGTACTTATTAGCTTAACAAGCACTTGACTTGGAGACTAAGATTCAATGTTTTTCACTCCTGAGTGGTTTAACTCCAGGGCCTAATGCTCTTCTCTTACTCAAGGGACTGGAGCATGCCTGCCACTAGGGGATGCTGTTGCTTTTTGCTCTAACTTCTGGCAGTTTCAATTCTGACCTTCTCAGACTCAACAGAAGAGAGAAAAGGAGGCTTCATCCTTCCTCAGCAAGTTTATTCCTCTTATGCTGCTAGAGTCAGTGGAACAATTCAGAATGAAATTGGCTTGTTAAAATGTTTTCATATATCTCCCCAAGGTGGACCATAACAGCTTCTTGGTATCATCAGTGATCTGTTTCATTAGAGTCTGGGATGTTAAGGTTTTTGAGGTGTTACCAAGAGAAGTGAAGACTAATGGGGAATAGGGAGTGTGTCATAAGGAGATAGGGAGAGGGCTGAACCCCTGTGGACCCTTCCCTAGTCAGCAGAAATCTGCTTTCCTCTTCCACTGATTCAGTATTGGCTTAGACGTTTGCTGAAGTGCATCTGCTATACCAGTTTTTGAGGTTGTCAGAAATACAAGCTCTGGGGTCACATGAATTTGGAAAATTCTGGTTTGAAAAAACTTTTAAGAAATTTTACTTCGTGTACAATTTTTAGAACATTTAATGCATTATAATGCATTGTGGCATGTGTTTTGTGAATCCAAGGCTGAGTACTGGCTAGGAGTAGACATCATAATGGTGGTTCTCAATGGAGGAGGGATGATTCTGCTTCCAGGGGGCATTTGACAATATCTGGAGACATTTTTGACTGTCTAGGGAAGAGTGTTACTGGCATCAAGTGGGTAGATACCAAAGACGCTGCTGAATATCCTCCAGTGCACAGGACAAGCTTCGCCTACCTCCTCTACCAACAAAGAATGATCATGCTCCAAAGGTCAGTAATTCAAAGGTTAAGAAACTCTTCTCTATAATACATACAGCTTCTTACAATTAATTAAACATAAAATTAATTATTTTTTCTTGAGATATCTTGTAGCACCAGAGTGGAAAATATGTGGGGAAACTCTGCCCTCAGTTTATCCACAATGTTTTAATTATGTTTCAGTTGCCAAGTGGTGAGGTTTTCCCTCAATACTATTTCTCTTTGAATTCCGTATGGCACTTGTCACTGTTGACTGACCTCTCTGTATGTTTCTCCTGAATTGGCTGGACACTGCATTGTTTTGGTTTTCCTCCCCCTTCTGTAACCTCTCTCTCTTCTTTCTGGCTCTTTCCCTTCCTTCTGCTCCCTGAGTAGTGGCATATCATATTGTTTTATATTTCATTGTGATCAGTCTCCCATGATTTCACTTATGTGTCCTCATGCCAGTAGCTCTACCTATATCCTTGTCCCAGGTATTTCCTATATTTCTTTCCAAAAAGATCTACATTTCTGGTTATGTGTTGGTTATTTTCTCCAAAGTAAAATGTCCCCCCTCCAAAATCACCTCTTCCTCTTCAACTTCCTATTTCTGTCCTTTATTAATTTGTTTACATTCTTCTAATTTTCTCAATCAGACATGAAATCACGTTTAATCACAGCCCTGTGGTTCTTTGTCTATCCCTTCTTAGAGGAGGCCTTGATTCACTCGTCTGACTACTGAAATGAATTCCAAGTTACATGTCCTTCTTCCCCTCCTTACCTATGTGGTCTGCATATTACCACTGTTTGGATCATCTGAAAACATCACTTTGATTCTTTCTTTAAAACTTCCATTGAGTGAGTTTCCATTGTCCTTTGAATAAATTACACACAACGCATGCCAGCAGTCAAATTTGCCACAGTACGGCTCCTACCTACAGTTAAAGCCTTTGTTCCAATGACTTCTCCATTGACATTCCTCCTGTTGAAGAAACATTGTTTATGTGAGAGTAAAGATGTGGTGGAGATGGGAGAGTGAAAAGCACTTGGGGAAAGGAAGTTTTTGTTAACTTTTTAAATGATCTCTGGCATACAATGTCTGCGAGCTGGACAATTCAATTTCTACGTTATTGTAGACACACTGTATACGTGTGACTCATCCTCTAGACTAAGGATACTTTATAAATGGGCTCATATGATCTTTATGGCATGTAAGGAATGAAAATAATAAAGGATATTGCTCAAAGCTTCTGTCAAAATCTATAGCCTGTTATATTATGCATCCTCAGTAAATATTTGTTGAATTTAGAATAAAAAATTAATGAACGCATTCATGCATGAATGACAAGCTACTGTGGCAGGTGCTGTTGGTATCCTGCTTATATCCCCTTAGCACTCATTGCTACAGGACAAAGGCAAATGTCTGCAAATACTGCTAATACCAGCAACCATATACTTGAAGGCTTTTTCCCTCCTAGCTACAGGTGTGTGCTCAGCTACCCCCCAGAGCAAACTGAAGTGTCAGAGAGTTGATGAGTCTAGGAACTACCCTCAATCAATGATAGGATGTTGGTAGATACATTCCTTTAGTCAGAATAATTCTGAGAAGCGTTCTGCAACATCTCTCATATTTCCACATTGAGACTGAGTTCTAATTCCCACAGTGGTATCTTGCATGATAAAGTACCATTTACTGACCACCCCTCCTTCCTTGTCTCGCTTTCCCATCTCCCAGCAATGCTTTGTAGGATCACTTCTCAAAACGGAAAACAAAACAAAAATGAACAAAACCTCACAAAAAACCCAACCAAAACCCAAGCCAAAAGACCAAACCAAAGTGCGCGCGTGCACACACACACACACACACACACACACACACACACAAAACCAAAACCAAAACCCTATTTTCAATTGATTTCCTCTCTCAGAATCTGCTTTCAGGAGGAACACAAACACAAACTAAGCCCCCAAATGTGGAATTGCGCATTGAGTACGTAAGAAGAGTCCATAACATCTGGAAGTCATACAATTGGAGTTGAATAAAACAAACAAACAAACAAACAAACTTTCAGGAATTAGAGGTCATTTTCTCTGTGGCAAAATTTCTTCCACACAAATTACTAATGGTTTTAACAAAAGATGTGTAAACTATCTTTGGAAACCCACTGTCAATTTATGAGGGAAAGGTGAGGGTTGTTCTCTATTTTCAAGCTCTTTGGATAAAGAAAGAAATAAATCATTAAAACTGGGAAATATTCACTAATGGAATATTTAGTTATAAAATCACTCAACTCAGAAAATCCTTTCCCACTCAACACTTATGTCTTTCCCACTCATAATACCCTAGTAGCAAGTGTCAGAATATTTGGCCAAACTGTGTGAATAAAACCTAGCTCAGCTTTAATAGTGTGAGAAATAAGCCCACTGCTCCAATCAAAGGAGGGATGTGGGGACTCGGGGCACAGTAAAGCAAAGCTTTAATCAATGTTCTTACAAGAGCGGGTGTCTGATGGACAGACACACTCGGGGCGGTTACAGCAGACAATTTATCTCCTACTATGCAGGTCCCTCCCCTGATTCCTCATTGGCTGAGTACTACAGAGGTTACAGCCTTACCCAGACAATGCCTATGCCCATGTAAGGCAAAAAGTAGTCTGACTGGCACAGATGTACATTCCTTGAGGTGATGCAGAGACTTCAGTTCTTCGGCACATGCTCATTGCAAAGACTGCGAAAGTAACCTTGCCAAACCAAGAGGGAAAGAACCAGGAAGTGAAATGTCTAAGGATTTGGGACTCCATGGTGGGGGGGGGTATTGTACATTTTCCAATAGGTTGGAAATTAACCTATTGTTAATAGGTTAATAGGTTAATAGCTCCCAGCTGTCAGCACAGAGCCTGACGAGGGGCCATGAGATCATGACCTGAGCTCAAGTCAGATGCTTAACCAACTGAGCCACCCAGCTGGCCCTAGACAGCACAGCTTTTATTTGGTTCTTCTGAAAATGAATCGTCTCCCTGCCTTCTCACAAATAGAAAATCTGAAATCTTGCAAAAAAATAAAATACAGCATTCATGAAACCTCTGGAAGTGATGTTAGGAACTGCTAGAATAAATGCAAAGCTGTGGGGAACAAGGATCTAGCAGAGTTAGACAAGACAATAACTGAAGAAGGGAAAATGGACAGTTAATGACCATGATAGGAACTTTCCAATGGTGATCTGTAAGTCAATGGAATAGGGAAAGCACTTGGGAAAAATTAGTGAGGCTTTTAAATATGTTTGCAAAATATGCTTTTTTTTATCCATCTGTGAAAGTCAAGTGTGAGTCATGGATGTAATATTGTGTTAGGATATGTATATATATGTGTGTGTGTGTGTGTGTGTGTGTGTGTTGTTGTTGTTGTTGTTGTTGTTTGTTTTGTTTTCCTTTCTTTTTGTTGGGGGAGGTGTGGAAATTCTACTCCAGAATGTTCCATTTACCTCCTGAGTGACAGAACTGCATTTAAATCCTATCATCTCAAAGTTTGGTGTACAACACACTTTAAGAGAATCATGAAAACATCTATTTCATTTAGAAGATTGAAACAGGAAGGAGGCTTATCCTTTGCCTTGTACAGGGTCTCCTTTGGTTGAAAATCACTTAAACATTGAACTGAGAACATTTGTTGCCTTTCTTGATTTACAGATGTTTTCTTAGAACTACATTGCCGAACAGTCCCAGCTGGCTGTAGCTAAGGCCTGTGTAAATTGATAAGAAGCATCTGGCTTCAAGACACCAACTAAGTACAGGGGCAGGCTCTTTGTGTCCCCAGAGAATCTGGTTGGGGTAGGAACTAAGTCTCAGAACCACTTGCTGTGTTTGTGAGTGAGTGCCAAGTTAATCCCCAGCAGGAAGAGACAGGGACAGAGCCCACTGCTGGGCTCTTCCCACTGTTGAAAATTCACCAGGCGCTCAGTGGAAATTTTCTTCCTTTCTTCTGCCCTGAGTGTTTTCCCTAACATGAAGGTAAGAAAATAATTTCATTACTTTTGTAAGTGAAGCAATCTCAAAAGGGAGTGAGGCTTAACTGAAATGGCTCAAATAAGGAGAAGACATGGGGAAATAGGAAAGAGAAAGATATGGGGATAACTTAAAAAAATCCTTATTTAAATATATTTAACAATTCAGACAAAGTGAATTCCTTTTTCTTGTTTTGCAGTAAAATTAGTGGTTCGAAGGTATGGAAATGAGAGTGGAGACTATGTTTATGAAAGTCCTGACTGAGCCATCAAGGAATATAATAGTGCCATTGTTATTTTTAGGGAAAAATACCCTGTCGTGTATTTTGTTTGTTTGTTTGATTTGCAGCTATGCAATGAGTCCCCATGATCTGACTTATCTAAGAGCTTTATAGAAAAGTGAGTTCGGAAACTTGGAACTTTAGAATTTGGAATCCTGGACCAAAGGGTCAGGAATGTGAGAGTGGAAGACACAGAGAGAAGAATGCAATGAAAGGCTTACCAAATGTACATGTTGGCCCAGTGCAATGTAGCCAAATGTTAGAAAAATTACTATTCAACTAAATACAGGACCAAAGACAGTAACTTCAACTCCAACTTATTTATTTTTTAAATGTTTTATTTATTTTTGAGAGACAGAGACAGAGAGAGTGCACACAAGCAGGGGAGGGGCAGAGAGAGACAGGGACAGAGGACCTAAACAGGCACTGCCCTGACAGCAGCGAGCCCATGTGGGGCTTGAACTCATGAACCATGAGACCATGACCCGAGCCGAAGTTGGCCACTCAACCCACTGAGTCATACAGGTGCCCCAATTTTTGTATCATTTTTAAAAAGTTTTTTAAACGTTTATTTATTTTTGAGAAAGACAGAGTGCAAACAGTGGAGGGGCAGAGAGGGAGGGAGACAGAATTTGAAGCAGCTCCAGGCTCTGAGCTGTCAGCACAGAGCCCAACACGGGGCTCGAACCCATGAACTGTGAGGTCGTGACTTGAGCCCAAGTCAGTTGCTTAACCGAGTCACCCAGGTGCCCCAAGTATCATTTATTATTACTTTATGATTGTTCTATCTTGTCCATTTGTTAAGATACTCTTTCTGAAGGTAGGAAATGATAACTTGATGACTTGTTTTCAGGGACTTAGCTAGCAAATTCAAGAAATTCTTTTGGTTAATAGATTCAGCTTGTGTAACTCATGAACAGAACTGCCTTGTAATTAGGCAGATCTTCTGAAGTTACAATAAGGAGTATGTATATGGGGAAGGTGTTGGCAAAGGCACTGCTGAAAAAAATGTATATTCCCTAAAGCTTGATTGAAATTCTTTTCAAACACGTGTAATAATAGACTGTTAAGAATGAATTTTTTCATGATGCCCGCTTTGGCTGAGAGTCAAAGGCCAAGAAGAATAAGTGGTCAGCATCCCCACATTTTAAAGTGAGATAGATACTGGACATTCAAAGCAGTTTTACAAAAGGATAGTGTCTAGTGACCTTTGGCTATCCCCATCCTCCAGAATATATAGGATCGTGCCCCTTAGAGTATAGGGGATGTAGAAAATCATACTCTAGTCATGTCTGGGAAAATCTAAAGGCACAGGCTGGTTCCCTAGCCTGCCTTTAACAGAGTTAATCAACACAGCATTATTGGTTACATTCTGGACATCCAGAGTCTGACAGGATAAGGATGTGTGCAGGTATTGCATGGACACAATGTGGACCTTTAGAAAGGAGCCAGACTTGGGTTGTCAGGGCTTCTGCCTGAGAAACTGCCTGCAGGATGAAGCAACTCCAACAGGCAGCATCCATATGGAAAAGGAGTCCCAGGAGGCAAGCACTGGGGAGAGTCAAGTGTGATAAACAAAGAGATGAATCATTTTTGCCAAGAGCATAGTGGTTGTAGATCACCAATGGGGGCCATCCAAAGAACCACAAAAACACAGTGGGAGATAAAGACTTGGCATTCAAATATTCACCACATCCTGGGTCACCATTATGGACTCCAGCTGGATTAGTCACACAAGACCCTTTTTGGCTCTTGTCCCTCTCCTGCTGCTGTGACTTTGAAGAAGACAGAGGCAGTCTGGGGATGTGGGGAAGAAAAGCAGAACAAGGAGGAGGAATTTGGAATCAGACTCCACCCCACTCCCATTATGAGCATCCAGGACCCAGGAGACACTTAAAATTGGATATTGAATTGAAATTTGACTGTTAGAGTGTTTCAGAATCTTTGTTTTCCAAAAATGTGACTATCTGTTAGTGCCTATGAGTGACTAATAAAGCTATGGAGATAGCCTTTCCCAGGGACGGAAGAAGAAGTTGACAGCATGGAGTAAAGATATATTGTTGAAAAACAGAAAAATTAACCCAAACCCTTGTAGGTTTTTTTTTTAATTGTTTTTAATCCTTGTAATTTTTAATTAAAAACAAAACCTGTAGAAGGTGTTGCTTTATGTTATGTGCTTTACCTGCTCATTAAAAAAATCACATAAGTATTCATACCTCCCCCCACTCATTTCCAGGATGCCCATAGCTGTTTGGTTATGCTAATCAGAATAATAGGCTAAAAGCTTCTGAGAACAATAAAAGACAGAAGTGGGCAACTAGGACTTTACAACTGAAAGGAAGATACCTAATAAGATGGCAGGTGATCTAGGAAGGCAGGGAGAAGGATCTGGAAAAAATGTTGGGAGGCCACTCCACAAATACATGGAAAGAAAAGGTTTGAGGAGGTCAGGGAGAAGAGAAAGAATATTGGCCTGTTAAAATATGGAGTAAGATGGTTTTAAGGACTTTTACACTGGGTTATATATTGAATACAATTGATATCCTTGGAGAATCTCCAGGAAAGATTTGAATGATATTCCCAGACACCCTCAGTTGTCAAAGTAGGGAAATACATAAAAGTAAAAAAAAGTTAATAGAAATTACCTATAATTTCATTACCAGAAATGAACTATTATCCTTTATTATATTTCTTTCTAGATTTGTTTTTAATACATGTTTGACTTTTCAAACAAAATGTAATCCCGTTTTATATACAATTTTGTGACCTTCATTATTTAGGCTGGTGCTGTCATGGACAGATGATTGCAACAGGCCTCACAGGTGTTTTAAAAACCAGAGGAGCTGCCCATAGAACTAACGGGCAGGGTGAGGATCCTGGGCCCTCTGGCTGGGGATGTGCCTCAACTTTTGGTTGACTCTTCATTTATGAAACTTACTTCCCTTCTAACTTCTCACTCTTGGCTGGTCTTTCTTCCAGGCTTCATCCTCTTTGGGTGTCTTCATATGTGTTGAAGTTAGAGTGAAGAAGGGTAGAGAAAGGAATGAAAAGATGATGGGTCCTTAAAGAAATGCTCTAATGAGCTACATTTTCTATTTGCTTGGCTATGACATTCCCCAGTCCCTAGCCTTCTTTACAGAAATGAATAGTAAGAGGTGAGCTCAACAGAATTGTATTAAACTTTTATTTAAAATGGAAACTTAAAGGACAAACAGAGTCAGGGAGCCTTCTCCATGTTTCTTTCCTTCTTTATATTCACAACTCACAAATCTTGACTTGCACAAATGTATTCACTTTCAACTCATTAAAGAAATATAAACTAAAGCAATGCTTTATTCTCCCCCCCAGGCAATAAGTTTTTTCATCTTGGTGGGATTTGCAGGAGAGTTCCAAATTTTTTCAAGGTGAGAATGTTTTGGATTGTATTGGAGATCATTAAAAATTATTATTATTTTTTTTATTTTTAGGAAGTTCTTTATCATATGGCCTGATTTTAACATTGCAGCCTGAACGTCTTTTTCCCTTCAACACTTATCTTTCTGCGTTTCGAGAAAAGGCAATGATAGCAAAAGCTTGTTTTATTCTCATTCTTATTTTACTTTATTTTATTTCCCATAAGGAAGAAATTTGAAGACTAAAACTACTTCAAAGTTTTCTTCTTGTCCCAGTACCATGATTGTACTTGCAATTCAGAGAATTGCACCGACCTTAGAATTAACACATCTTGGAGTAGAATGTGATCTTTAAATGTAGTCATTGCAAAACATTCTTTGGATTTTAAAGGTTGAGAGTTTTTTTTTTTCTTAATTGAAATACAGTTGATACACAATGTTATGTTAACTTCAGGTGTACAACATAGTAATTTGACAAGTCTATACATTATGCTGTGTTCCCCACAAGGGTAACTTCCGTCTGGTTGAGAGTTTTTTTTTTTTTTAAGAAAATAGGTGTGCTGACTCTTGAGACCTGGAAAAAAGCCACCATCATTTACTCATGGCTTTCTCTTGCTTTCATTGTCAGTTTGATGGGATAGGACCAGGTCAGTTCATGTTTTCAAACTATCAGAATATGTGTCAGGGGCTGTGCTAGTGACTGGGGACACAAAGGGGGCCAAGTGTCTGAGAGTCCACTGGGTGATACAGATCTTGAAACAGTTGATGTCAATATAAATGTGCTAGGCCTCTGGGAGAGGGCTGCATGGGATACTGTGGGAGCACAGAGAGACGAGACCAAGCTGGCTTCCCTTCCTAAACCTCAGTGTTTGGGGAAGGTCTCTGCCTGTCCCTGGGGCACAACATAGAACAATAGCAAGTTCCGATTGTTTAAGGGTCAAAAACAGTGAGGCATTTGGATCATTGGCACCATGTCAAGACTACAAGTTAGCAAGTTTGGCTTGAAAAAAAGCATGAGAGGCACATGCACTTCAGATCAAACTTCTTACCTTCAGGATCACCTCATAGGCTTAAGATAAGCACAAATCACCTTGACTGAAGGTGTCCCAAGGCTAGGAATCTGCTCAAAATCCAGAAATCAGGATTCTGATTTCCTTTACCCCTTGTAAAATATGCTTTAAGTTAGACTTCCTTAATCGCTGAGGATGAAGTCATGATATGCTCTCTACAAAGCTGGAGTTAAGCATCACACAACAGATTCTCCATTCTTCATGTATTTTAGTGGAGTGGAATTGTTTAAGCTCAAATGGACGCTACTTGGATGTGTTCTTGAGGAGTAGCCTAAATGCACAGGGAGAATATTTAAAAATCAATTTCTGTCCATTTCATCTTTGCCAGTTCTTAGTTTTTCTCTTCTGATAGGGTCTTTTTAGAGACTTTTGTCTTCCACTTAAGAGTTTCTGTTATAACTCTTCAGTTCATTATTCTGAATCCTTTCAAAGACCGTATACCTTCCTCCTACAAGTTCTCACTTACCCTTCCAACTGTGAACACTCCTTTATCTATATTTCCATAACACATTATACTGTATACATTTTTGTTATGAAATTGATCAAAGTAGGTACATTGCATTATGGATCATGTTTGTATTATTATATTATAATTATTTGTTTACATATGTGTCTTTGTCCTCTTCTCTATCAATCGTCAGTGATCTCTCTGTTATTGTGTCTACAACTTTAGTATCTAAATAGTGCCTGGTACATTATAGATGCTTGATAAGCATTAATCTTGAGAAAAGTTGGTTCCTTCCACGTGTATTTTTATAGATCTTGGGATACTTTTGATGTCTCTTAAAAAATTGTAAAGCAATTATTTTTTTTGAAATATTTTTGACTATTCTTTGTGCCCCCCCCCCCCATTATCTTTCTACCTGATTTATCATAATTTGGCAGTGCTTCCTCTCCAGTCAATTGCCAGTGGGATTCCTATGCCCTGTGGTCAGAATGCAGTGGTTGTACCAAGACTCAGGTAGGACCATACAAAACTTTGTATTTATTGTTTCCTATGCAGAAATAGCTTACATATGGACAAAATGACATTAGCTTTTGAATGTTATTTTTTATGTTGAAAATATAATTGGTAGTTTTAAAGGGAGAAAAGTATGACTCTAGTGATTAATAATGTAATAAAGTAATTTCTGCGTTTCCTATTTTTCTTGCAGGACTTTTCTAAATCTTACATTTGAGCCTAGACATATACACAGGGTATAGCAATTCACTAACTCTTTAACTAGAGAACTCTTTAATTAGAGGAATAGAGTAGCATGAAATGAAGATAGTAGGTAATTCAAAATCTGTTTCATATTTACTGGGTTCAACTTTTCTTCTTATTTGAAAGGAACGCTAACGAGTAGCAAAACTTTGTTTTACCTAATGAGCTGAATGATCATGAAAAATGAAGCATTTGCACCTTTTAAAAAAAGATTTTATATTTAAATAATCTCTACACCCAAGGTGGAGCTCGAACCCACAACCCCAAGATTAAGAATCACCTGTTCTACTGACTGAGCCAGGCAGGTGTCCCTGTATTTTTAAACTTTTTAAACTTTAATTTCTGAGTAATACAAATAAAATACTGGACTTGATCTGGAGATTATAAAGTACTTCTAAAAGTGTTTTTTTTTTTTCCTTATAAGTTATTCATTGGAGGAAACAGGAAGGTCTAAATAAAGAAAACACTATTTACAATTTTACCATTTAAAAGAAACCAGGGGTGTCTGGATGGCTCAGTTGGTTAAGCGTCTGACTCCTAATCTCAGCTCAGGTTATGATCTCAGGGTCCTGAGTTCAAGTCCTGCATTGGGCTCCACACTGGGTATGAAGCCCACTTGAAAAAAAAAAAAGCATGAGATTTTAGAGGTGCTCAGTTGGTTAAGTGTCTGACTTCAGCTCAGGTCATGATCTCACAGTTCGTGAGTTTGAACCCCGCAATGGGCACATGTCTGTGCTGACAGCTCGGAACCTGCAGCCTGCTTCACATTCTGTGTGTGTCTCTCTCTCTGCTCCTCCCCCACTTTTACTCTCTCTCTCTCTCTCTTTTTTTTTTTCTCTCTCTCTCTCAAAAATGAATAGACATTAAGAAAAATTTTTTAAAAGAAACCAATATACCATCATTTTGGTATTTATTCTTTCAATTTATCTTCTTTCTCTATGTTTATAATTTTTAAAAATACAATTGTTTGATTAAAGTGTTATATTCTACTATTTAAAAATTTTTGTTTGTTTGTTTATTAAAACTTTTAGAGAGAGAGAGCACAAGCTGGGTAGAGACAGAGGGAGAGAGAGAATCTTACGCAGGTTCCATGCTCAGTACCGAGCCCAATGTGGGGCTCAATCCTACGAGCCTAGGATCATGACCTGAGCCGAAATCAGGAGTAGGATGCTCAACCGACTGAACATGTAGACACCCCTTTATTTGTTTATTAAAAAAATTGCTTTTATTGTAAACTCCATGCCACACGTGGGGCTCAAACTCATGACCCCGAGATTAAGAGTCATATGCTCCACGGACTAAGCCAGCCAGGTACCCCTATATTCTACTATATTACCATGATACTCTCAGCGTGAATTTTAACAGCTGTATTATTTGCCGTTATATGAATATACCCATCTTATATATCCACTTTCATATTGTTTGAGATTTAGATTATCTACATTTTTGTTTGAGTGAAACTTGAGTGAATGTTTTTGTACATAGAAATCTGTCCTCTTTTCTGATAATTTTCTTAGGACAACTTCCACAAATATAATGTTCATGTTAAAGATTCTAAATATTTGAATGAATAAGTGTTTTTATTGAGATATACTTAACACATAATATTTATATTAGTTTCAGGTCTATAGCATGATTCTATAGTTGCAAAATATTTTAAAGGTGGTTCAGCTTGAATAAAAATGTGTATTTAAAAATCACTTTTTAATTCTTGAAATAACAGAACTGTATTATAGGAGATAATTTCTGTTTTATTTTTTTTATTTTATCAAAACAATTTTTTTAGATGTTTATTTTTGAGAGAGAGAGAGACAGAGCGCAAGCAGGGGAGGGGCAGAGAGAGGGAGACACAGAATCGGAAGCAGGCTCCAGGCTCCGAGCTGTCAGCACAGAGCCTGAGGAGGGGATCGAACCCACAAATTGTGAGATCATGACCTGAGCTGAAGTTGGATGCTTAACCGACTGAGCCACCCAGGCGCCCTGATAATTTCTGTTTTGAAGCATCATCATAATCATCATTTTCATCAAACATTTAGTACCTACATGAGTGGTATTTACAAAACCAGTTACTCGAATGTGGAATTTGGCTTTGGGCAAGTAGATGAGTACTCTGAATACAGACAGGCAAATGGGTCCATGAATAACAAGGCAAAAAATCAAATACCGACCACAGAAAACATTTTTATAATTTAAAAACAAGCTAAGAAAGAACACTAAATAGAAAGGGATGAGAGGTATTTTTCATATTAGTAATTTTTTTTCTTTGCATGAAGGTCATCATGCAATGATTACATCCCTAGATGGTAACGACAACATTTTCATCCACAGAGAGACAAGTGAAAATGGAAACGGGGTCATAAGATCAGAAGTTGTCAGGTGAGGGGCGCCTGGGTGGCGCAGTCGGTTGAGCGTCCGACTTCAGCCAGGTCACGATCTCGCGGTCCGTGAGTTCGAGCCCCGCGTCGGGCTCTGGGCTGATGGCTCAGAGCCTGGAGCCTGTTTCCGATTCTGTGTCTCCCTCTCTCTCTGCCCCTCCCCCGTTCATGCTCTGTCTCTCTCTGTCCCAAAAATAAATAAACGTTGAAAAAAAAAAAAAAAAAGAAGTTGTCAGGTGAGAATATGGCTGCTCACAGTGGGCAGCTGTCGAGGTCATACTGGTATGTGGAGAGAGGGAAGCATTACTTAGATAAACAACACAATCTGTGCTTTGGAACTTCAGAAAAGGACAATTTAATAAGACATTATGAGAGGCGTCTTCATCAATCAAATACAGAAACTAGAAACTTATGAAGGAACTGCACTGAGTTCTATTCCCCTCTCATATTCCTCCATGGCTCCTCTGCTCAGATACAATGGAAGGTGCCAGCACCAGGCCCAGGTTGACACACAGCTGCTCAGAGATCAAACTGCATTACCGTGACCCTTTGTCCCAATGAGTCCCCACTTCTAACCCAGTTTAGGATGGATGAGGAGATTCAACGTTGGTTTGTGATGAGGGATAGAAGCAAAAATGTGTTCGCATTTAGCCCAGAAGGCTGACCTATAGCTGCGTAGTTCCGATAAGTATCAAATATGTACTGGTTGCTGCATTCTTAGAGTCTCATGACTGTTCATCTCACTTGTTAATATCAAGCTGAATGATAAGCATCGGAGAAATCCTGTGAAACTACTTTTAAGAGTAGAAATTTGAAAAAGACATTTATGATTTAATATTCCCTGCACACCCCCTCCCCTTTGAGCACTTAATATAATAACCACCATCTTCACACAGTAAAAGTGCAGCTCTTTCTCCCCACGGGCCCTGTCCCCGTGCTATAATAAAAGCACCTTTTTGCACCAAAAATGTCTCAAGAATTCTTTCTTTTTTTTTTTTTTACTTTTTACTTTTTTCTTTTTCCTTTTTAATTTTTTTAATTTTTAATTTCTTTTTTATTTTGTTTTATTTTTTTTTAATTTACATCCAAATTAGCATATAGTGCAACAATGATTTCAGAAGTAGATTCCTTAGTGCCCCTTACCCATTTAGCCCATCCCCCCTCCCACAAGCCCTCCCATAGTCCTCAGTTTGTTCTCCATATTTATGAGTCTCTTCTGTTTTTTCCCCCTCCCTGTTTTTATATTATTTTTGTTTCCCTTCCCTTATGCTCATCTGTTTTGTCTCTTAAAGTCCTCATATGAGTGAAGTCATATGATTTTTGTCTTTCTCCGAGTGACTAATTTCACTTAGCATAATACCCTCTAGTTCCATCCATGTAGTTGCTCAAGAATTCTTTCTTGACCGTTCGCTTCTGACCCCACATCAGTTTGTAGATCCAGTCTTCCCTGTTGATCTTTGCTCAAGGTTTAAATTCTCTGGAATGTCAGATTCTATTTTTTTTTTTTTTAATGGGGAAAAGGTGAGTACAGGAAGAGGCTTAAGTGATGCATCTTTGATTGCTGTTGGGCAGGAAAAGGATTTTGTGGACCTTTCTTTTTGTTTAAGTGTTAGATATATGTGTTCACATTGATAAAATGAACTTTAGGATGACTTAGGTGTTTCTCGGTTGGCTTGATGATTTCCTCAATTTTCCCATACTTTCTCTCCCAGAGATTTGCCTTTGACATATTTCCCACTTCCGAGGCCAGTGATTTTTATTATCTAGTAAAATTCCGTTGCAGAGGTAGCTTCACCTTTGGATGACCGAGGTTTCTGTGCTGTAAATTTGACTTCCATATTAGCATCTTTCTCTCCAGATTTATTTTGCATTGCCTTCCTGAAGAAGGCTTAACATTCAGCTCAAATCAATTGCCACCATTTTTCTAAAGTTTTTTTTCCTTTTTTTTTTAAGAGTTATTTTTTATTTATTTATTTTTTTTTTTGAGAGAGAATGAGAGTGCACCTGGGTATACACGAGCCAGGGAGGGGCAGAGGGAGAGACAAAGAGAATCTCAAGTAGACTCCTTGCCCAGTGCAGAGCACCACATGGGGCTCAGTCTCACGACTCTGAGATCATGACCTGAGCCCAAATCAAGAGTCGGCCACTGAGCCCACTGATCCACCCAGGTACCCCTCTAAAGGTTTTTCTAACTTTACTTCTTTTTTTTTTTTTTTTTAATTTTTTTCAACGTTTATTTATTTTTGGGACAGAGAGAGACAGAGCATGAACGGGGGAGGGGCAGAGAGAGAGGGAGACACAGAATCGGAAACAGGCTCCAGGCTCTGAGCCATCAGCCCAGAGCCCGACGCGGGGCTCGAACTCACGGACCGCGAGATCGTGACCTGGCTGAAGTCGGACGCTCAACCGACTGCGCCACCCAGGCGCCCCTCTAACTTTACTTCTTAACCATTGTTCCCAGTATCCTTCCCGCCCTCTGACAAAATCCATTTCTCCTTTCTAGTTGGCACACAGCTTGAGCAGAAACATTAAACGTTCTATATCGTAACCTATTTGCTTATATGTCTACCCAGCTAACTTTTTCAAGTTGCTTTTTTTAAGAGCCACTGTTTTTATTACTATTATTTTTTTAATACTCAACTCTGAAAATAAATACATAGCTGGGAGAACGTCACAAATAATAATCCAAGTGTCACTTGTCACCCACTCCAGGACAAGTAGGTCTGTGGGTTCATTGATTTGGGAGGTTTTACATCTGTGGAACACCAGAACAATTTCCTGAACCCTGTTTCTTCAATTGCATTAATTTCTCTCAGATTTGTTTCTCCGATAAAGGAAAGGAGATATCAGAAAGTACTACCTGTTCTGTGTTTAGACTCGCAGGCGGTCAATAGCTGTTTACGGGCAGTATGGTGGCCATCCTTGTGTCGGAAATGCATTTGAAACACAATCGTGTGAACCTACCCGGGGATGTCCAACAGAAGAGGGATGTGGAGAGCGTTTCAGGTGTTTTTCAGGTATGTTTTCATAGGCTTGGCAGGCAGGGTGTAATTTCAAATGCTATTTGGTTAACTTGCTTAGTATGTGTTTGTTGACTTTTACTGAATGTGTATCGGCCTTAAAATTAATTTCAGGCCAATATCAGTAGGATTTTTATTGGCATATTAATTACATACTCAGCTATCATTATTTAGAATGCAAGAGGAGGCATCCGGTAAGAAAGGTAAGGATACTGCTCACTTCTTTGAAAAGAAATATGGCTGTTGCCAGACCCAAACAGTTCTTGACATTGCATTGTTGGTGGAGATGTAGAGTGAGTCCGGTACACCGAGATTAGGCAAAAACAATGTTACTGCCCAAATTATCATTATGTTTACAAGAGAAGCAACTCTAATTAGCTAATCAAGGAGTAATACAGGTCACTCCTATACACTGGGTGATTGAAACACAATTTCAAGTTTTGGCATTGAGTATTATTTGACCTAGTGTTTATGTATCATTTGTGCAGTGAAGTTAATTCAACAACGTTTACCAAATATTCATTATTGTTACTATGTTCCAGATACAGTGGTAAGGATTGTGGATATACAAATGAAATGCTTAGTCTCTTCCCTGAAAAATATTAAAGTTTATGCACAGAATAGTTCATAATTGATCTCCGTGTTAGAAGTGCTCCTCAACAAGACCTGTCAAACTCCTATTTTACTTTCAAAACCCAGATCAGGTGACTCCTCTTTTCAGAAGCATTCCTTAACTTCCCAATTGATAGAGATAATTAACAAATCACTTCTCTGTGTTCCTTAAATACATTGTACTATCTGTAATCTGGAGAATTTACTGGCCTGGTTATCTCTCTTGGAGACAGTGAACTCCTTGAGGATATGGATTATATTGCTTTAATTTTTTAATGTTTATTTACTTTTGAGAAAGAGAGAGACAGACAGAGTGTGAGCAGGGAGGGGCTGAGAGAGGGGGAAACACGGAATCCGAAGCAGGCTCAAGGCTCCGAGCTGTCAGCACAGAGCCTGATGTGGGGCTCAAACTCACAAACCACCAGATATGACCTGAGCCGAAGTCAGATGCGTAACTGACTGAGCCACCCAGGTGCCCCTGTTGCTTTAATTTTTGCATCTGGAATACTTGGTACATAGTAGACTGTCCACAACACTGGATCGGATTGAGTGAGAGCATAGTGGGATGCATGCTATACCGTCAGGACAGTTGCATGCAATGCACACTATGAAGACACAGAGGAAGGACATGCACTATAGCCTGTGGAGGAGGGATGGTCTCTAAGAGGAGATGATGTTGAATTTGGTTCTTGAAGGGCAGGTTGGTGACAGGTAGAGAAACCCTTCTAGTCTGAGGGAACCATAAGTGCAAGGTCAGTGGAGATGACAGAAGCCTGGCCTTTTATTCATGCAGGTGTGACTGTTGCATCAGAAGCTGGTAGGAGAATGGCTGGAGATGATGCTGGGGAGGTAGGCAAGGGTTAGATCATCTGATACCCTCCAGTGCTTCCTTGATTCCTGGGATGTATGTCTATCATAGCAATTACGTTGCTGAATTATAATGATCTATGTCTTCATAGTCCTTTCTATTAGCTTGTAAAGTATATGAAAAGCCCAGCATACCATTTTTATTTATATTTGTACCTAACACCTGGAAGAGTGTCTTGCACAGAGTATATGCTAAAGATGTGATGAGTGTTAACCTTTTGATCCAGTTTCTATGCTCTCAAAAGCTTACACATCAAATCACCAAAAGAAGCAGAGGTTTGACATCTTGGTCAGTGATGGCAAAAAATAAACTGAAAGTTGAAGGGCAGGATGTCAATCTATCTTCCCAGTGGTCGGCACTGTTTGATTCTGGAAGATTCAGACAAACTGCTTGGTTATGGGTGAGAGCCTGGAATTTGAATTCAGCTTCTATTTTCAATTTTGTGTCCAGCTGAGGTCAGAATCAGTTTTGTGTATTGTAATATGAGGACCCAAATAATCACCAGTCTTTTCCTAGACATCTTGAGGACTGATCTCAAATTCACATTAGAATATTAGTACAATTTTGGGAATCAAAGGCAAAACCCTTTTGATCCCAGGTAGTTTTTCCCTTCTTCCCTCTTTTATTTATTTATTTATTTATTTATTTATTTATTTATTTATTCATTCATTCATTCATTCATTCATTCATTTATGGGGCTTATCTTGTGTACAGGCCAGTGCATCAGCAAATCTTTGGTTTGCAATGGGGATTCTGACTGTGAAGAGGATAGCGCTGATGAAGACAGATGTGAGGACTTAGAAAGCAGACCTTCGTGTGACCTTGATAAACCTCCTCCCAACATAGAACTTACTGGAAATGGGTAAGGTGCTGGCCAGTTTTCTGTGCACATTGATGGATAGTAGCTTTTCATTTTGTTTTGTTTTATTTTATGGTTTGGTAAGTCTGATAACAAATCACCTAATAGCTCAGCCTTTGGCTCAGAGCTCTTTGCCACATCCTGAAACATTTTTTCATTCATACCTGTATACTTGAAAATGTATGTGGTAAATGCAGAGTGTCCAATTGTCCCTTGACTGTCCTGCTTTTAGCCCTGGAGGTCCTATGTCCAGGGACACCCCTCAGACCTGGGGAAACCTGGATAGTTGGTCACCCTATGGGAGAGAGGTAGAAATAGAGAGAGACAGAGGGAGAGAATTGATTCAATGACAGTGATGTGAGGCTCCTTATGAGAATGAAGAGACAATAGAGTAAGAACAGAGAAAGAAGAGAGAAAGTAACGTATTGGAATATTGAGGCTTGAAACGTAATTGTCTGAACTGGCTGGGAACTTTCATTTCAAGTGAAGTGAAGACAATCCCATGTTTGTCTTTCCAAAAAGAATTCTGAGGAATTTTGAGGGTCAGATCCAAGTTGAAGATTTCAAGACTTTAAAACAGTCTATTTTAGAGTGATAGAAGTGGCTTTCCTATCATAGTTTAAAATTCATTAACAGAAAAATGGTAAAATTACTCTAAAGAGTATACCATTCAGTATACTAAGAGGCAAATTAGTTGAAATTTGTTGTAGAAAGTTCTTCCTCCTCAACAGTCATCTTAATTGTATTGGTTTTATTTATAGATTCAACTCAAAACCAGCTGTTGCCATAAATACAAAAGGGCTATGTTTTCCAAACATGTTCTTAGGCTGAAGGATGTTGGATTTCTCCAGTTATTAGTTTTAGCTATTATACCACCCAGGGGAGGTTGGATAATATATGGTATGCATTAGGACATTGTTCTTTTTATTTGAGCTCTCTCAAAGAGATACTTCACTATATTTCAAAAATTTCTGGAAGTTCTTTTTCAGAAACTGCTATTTCTGATTTCTAACCATCTTTTCTTCCTTCCTTCCTTCCTTCCTTTTTTTTCTTTTTTAAACAGTTACAACGAACTCACTGGCCAGTTTAGGAACAAAGTCATTAATACTAAAAGTTTTGGTGGTCAATGCAGAAAGGTGTTTAGTGGGGATGGAAGAGATTTTTATAGACTGAGTGGAAATATCCTCTCCTATACATTCCAGGTACTTAATTTCATTGATTTAATTTATTTTTAATCTGTGAATTATTGCCAGAGGTCATTATTTATGTGATATTGATGTTTTGGTATTTGTTGAGAATTTATTTGTGGCCTAATATTTGATCAATTCTTATAAATGATTTATATGGGCTTAGAAAGAACACATATTCTTTAACTCTGGGGTACGGGGAAATGATACTTTAATTTGTCTCATTTAAGCTGAAATATTCTTTTGCCTCATTTTCAAGTCCATGGACCACATGGGCCCCAAATAGGATGGTCTGTCCCTGTACAGTGTCAAAACTCAAGGCCCTGGCCATGACTGGTCATGATAATCTCTTCACCACTGCCACAGTGTCAGCTCACTTAAAAATGCTTTTACTGTTAAATTGTAAACTATTTCATATATGCAAAACAGTGTAAGTAACATAAACATACAGTTTGAAGAAAACTAATTAGATGAATACTCATATATGCCAACCACGTACCTTAAGAAATAGAATATTGCCAATGACTTAAAGGCTCCCATCTACCCCTCTCTGGTCACATCCTCCCCACTCCGACAAACCACCATCTTCTGTTTTGTATTAACCACTTCTTTGTTTTTCTGTGTATGTTTATCTCATATGTATTTGTCCCTACATAAAAATTTGTGATTAGTTTTATCTATTTTTTGCCATTTACGTAAGTAAATCTTATAGTATATGTTCTTCTATGACTTTTTTCCCCCTCAAAAATCACAGTTTTGAAATTTATTCATGTTAATCTAGATGACGTTTTTATTGCTGGTTCTACTTTTTTCTTATGAAATTGCCTTGCACATTCTTGTGCATGAGTTCCATGCAAATGAACTAGATTTTCTCTAGGGCATACACCTGGTACTTGGATTGCTGCCTTGCAGGTTATCATAGGTTACACTTTACTCAGTAAAGTTTCCAAAATGGATGTATCATCAATTAATACCCAATCTGCAATGTGGAAGGGTGGCCTGTGCTCCATATCCTTGTGAACGTCTGTATTGCTAGACTCTTAAATTTTCCTTAAGGTCTCAGGGTCTTCTTTCCAGGCTTCTGCTTCTTGCAAGCTGTTTCTGTCACACATGCCTAACCTCATTCTATTCCATGATTTCAACACAAAATCCACTCACACAAAAAACAGTTATGGCTTTAGGGGGAGAATCCTGAACATTGGAAGGGGATATTCTGTTGGAGTAGTGCCAACACATTCCACAAAAATGGTGGACATCCTCTGTCTTAAAACATCTGTCCTTAGAGTGCCAGTAGGGGAGAGGGACAGAGGGAGAAAGAATCTTAAGCAGGCTCCATGCTCAGCATGGAGCCCAATGCAGTGCTCGATCCCATGACCCTGGGATCATGATCTGAGCCGAAATCAAGAGTTGGATGCTCAGTTAACTGAGCTGCTCAGGCATCCAAAACATCTGTCTTTCTAGAACCTCAACAGATCAAGATTTCTGGTCTCATCTCATTTTGGCATCTTGTTCTCTTCTTCCAGGATCTCCTCTCTCATTTCTTTCCTCCCTTCTTCCCAGAATTCTAAAAATTTCCAGTTCAGTGCTTCTTATCTCTTAGTCCCGAATTTGTAAACTAAAACTATTGGGATGTTCAGATAGAAGGGCTTTTCGTTTACCAAAATAAACCCCCATCAGAATGCAATTTTGATTATAAACAGCAAACAGCATCATCCTCTGACTTACAACAGAATAAGTTATATTTAAGAGTTATTGTATCATGAAAATGGAAAGTGAAACTGATCTGAAAAATAATAATAGGTACCAATTTTTGATTACCTACTCTGGCATCTGTACTGTTTTAGGCAATTTGTATAGGTTTAATCCTCATAACATCTTTGGAAGGTAAGTAATATTTTACTATTGTATGTATGTAGAAATTGAGGCTCAGAGGACTCCAGCTGACTTGCTCTAAATCGCCAAATTAGTAAGTAGTACAGCTTGGATCCAGCCTGTCAGACCTCACAGCCCTTTGTTTTTCTAGTATGTTTTACTCTCCCAGTATCTTGTATTTAACTGCTTTTTCAACTCTAAATTCTATACGGTGTATAATATGTATTGTAATTTAACCATTGGCCAGAAGGGAGAATGTGACATAGGCATATGTAGAAATTTTTTTTCTCCTATTCCTAGGAGGATGGGTTGATAATTCTTCATAATTATAAGAGGGATAATTGCATATATATTTTTGGATCAAATTTAGAATGTTACAGAGCAGAGAAAATAATGAGAGAATTTCTGACATAGTTGGAGGATAGACATGCTGGAAGTCTGCAGTTTCTGAAGAAGAGAAATAATTTAATAACAGCATAATCCTGACATTCATTTCCCTCAGCATGGCTTGGTTTTTGGATTGACATCTGAAATGCCTTTCCAGTCACTGAATTTGAAGGAGTTTGTCAGAGTTAGAGGGAAATTATAGAGATGTTTTGAGGATCCAGCCTGAGGGAAGTGAGATGGAAGCAATGAGTCAGTCCCTGAAGTGCTAACCCCATGTGGATATGCAGGTGGTAAGTGTCTTCCACAGGCAGATAGACCTGAGGCCACTGGGTGTTCAGCTACCTCTGAGTGGAAGATGACTTCTGACTTGTCGGAACATAAACATTAGTAAGTAAACACAGAACAGAATCAGTTAATTTCTCTTGTGATCTCTGTTTCAGTTTTGAGCATTGTAGTTTATCCAGGGCAAACCTGGTCTCTTGTTGACTAAGTCACTTTCTTTGATGCCATGCACTTTCTCTATCTCCTCATATTTTTCATCCCACGAGGAAGCCTTTGACACACAAGCACATTCCTGCTCTATGGTCGCTTTGGAAGGTGCCCCTCCTGTAGTTGTCTGGGAGGCTGCCGAAAGACTTTTTGTTCATTGTCAACTTGGAATGAGTCACAGATGGGAGTAAAAATTAGGGTGGAGAAAATGAATTACTTCTTGGATCCTCCTGTATTCAGTTTTGAATGCACTTCATTATATTTTGGGAAAAGAGATACTAGTGTATATCACATAAGAATCACAAAATTATATTCTAATGTTATTTTAACTAATGATTAATGATCTGATCCTCTGCTTCCTCTGTTGGTCTGAATCTAGATATCTGAGATTTCTTTTTTTTTTTTTTAGTTTTTAATTTTATTTATTTATTTTGAGAGAGATAGAGAGATACAGATGGGGGAGGGGACAGAGAAAGGGAGAGAGAGAATCCCAGGCAGGTTCCCTGCTGTCAGCACAGAGTCTGATGTGGGGCTCCATCCCACAAACTGCGAGACCACGACTTGAGCTGAAACCAAGAGTTGGATGCTCAGCCGACTGAGCCACTGAGGCATCCCTGGATATCTGAGATTCCTAAATCTACCTTTTAAACCAGGAATCATTTAAATGATGATCAAAAAATAGCTCACATACATTATATACTGTCCACTGTTTCAAGTGCTTAATGGATCTTCTTTTCTTTATAATAACCTAAAAAAAGTAGGCACTGTCATCTCTATTTTACAGTTGAGGAAACTGAAAGAAACAATGCTGAATGATTTACCCACAATCATAGAGGTAATAGATAACAAACATGGATTCTGAACACAAGAGTGTCTCCAGAACCCTTGTAACACACTATATTTAAGTGGGGTTGGAATATATATGAGTTTGATATATACGGAATGAAACCGTAGAGAGAGAAAAATGGAAGCTGTGGGAGAGGGAATGAATAATGAATTTAATAAGTCCTTAGAAGAGGTGGGAAGGAATGCAATACAGAGAAGAGACAGAGAAGTTAGCTTTATTATTTTTGTTTGTTTGTTTGTTTGTTTTTGGAGGATAACTCAGTTTTTTTAAAAAAATATTATTTATTGTCAAGTTGGCTAACATACAGTGTATACAGTGTGCTCTTGGTTTTGGGGGTAGATTTCTGTGATTTATCACTTATATACAACACCCAGTGCTCATCCCAGCAAGTGCCCTCCTCAATATCCATCACCCATTTCGCCCTCTCCTTTGCCCCTCTGCCATCAACCCTCAGTTTTTTCTCTGTATTTAAGAGTCTCTTATGGTTTGCTTCCCTCTCTGTTTGAAACTATTTTTTCCCCTTCCCTTCTCCCATGGTCTTCTGTTAAGTTTCCCAAGTTCCACATGTGAGTGAAAACATATGATATCTGTCTTTCTCTGACTGACTTATTTCACTTAGCATAATATCCTCCAGTTCCATCCATGTTGTTGCAAATGGCAGGATTTCATTCTTTCTCATTGGCAAGTAGTATTCCATTGTATATATAAACCACATCTTCTTTATCCATTCATCAGTTGATGAACATTTGGACTCTTTCCATAATTTGGCTAATGTTGAAAGTGCTGCTATAAACATTGGGGTAAATGTGCCGTATAAATCAGCACTCCTGTATCCTTTGGATAAGTTCCTAGTAGTGCTATTGTTGGGTCATAGGGCAGTTCTATTTTTAATTTTTTGAAGAATCTCCAGACTGTTTTCCAGAGTGACTGCACCAGTTTGCATTCCCACTAACAGTGCAAGATGGTTCCTGTTTCTCCACATCCTTGCCAACATCTGTTGTTTCCTGAGTTGTTAATTTTAGCCGTTCTGACCAATGTGAGGTGATATCTCAGTGTGGTTTTGATTTGTATTTCCCTGATGATGAGTGATGTTGAGCATTTTTTCATGTGTCTGTTGCCATCTGGATGTCTTCTTTGGCAAAGTGTCCATTTGTGTCTTTTGCCCATTTCTTCACTGGGTTATTCATTTTCTGAGTGTTGAGTTTGAGAAGTTCTTTATAGACTTTGGATACTAACTCTTTATCTGATATGTCATTTGCAAATATCTTCTCCCATTCTGTCGGTTGCCTTTTAGTTTTGTTGATTGTTTCCTTTACAGTGTAGAAGCTTTTTAGCTTGATGAGGTCAAATAGTTCGTTTTTGCTTTTATTTCCCTTGCCTTAGAAGATGTGTTGAGCAACAAATTGCCACAGCTGAGGTCCAAGAGGTTGTTGTCTGGTTTCTTTTCTAGGGTTTTGATGGTTTCCTGTCTCACATTTAGGTCTTTCATCCATTTTGAGTTTATTTTTGTGCATGGTGTAAGAAAGTGGTCCAGTTTCATTCTTCTGCATGTTGCTGTCCAGTTCTCCCAGCACCGTTTACTAAAGAGACTGTTTTTTTTCCTATCGGATACTCTTTCCTGCTTTGTCAAAGATTAGTTAGCCATACATTTATGGGTCCAATTCTGGATTCTCTGTTCTATTCCGTTGGTTTATGTATCTGTTTTTGTGCCAATACCTTACTGTCTTGATGATTTCAGCTTTGTATTAGAGGCTAAAGTCTGGAATTGTGGTTACTCCTGCTTTGGTTTCCTTTTTCAACATTACTTTGGCTATTTGGGGTCTTTTGTGGTTCCATACAAATTTTAGGACTGTTTATTCTAGCTTTGAGAAGAATGCTGGTGCAATTTCGATTGGGATTGCATGGAATGTGTAGATTTCTTTGGATAGTAGTGACATTTTAGCAATATTTGTTCTTCCAATCCATGAGCATGGAATGTTTTTCCATTTATTTATATCTTCTTCAATTTCCTTCATAAGTTTTCTATAGCTTTCAGCATACAGATATTTAAACAACTTTGGCTAAGTTTATTCCTATTTTATGGTTCTTGTGCAATTGTAAATGGGATCAATCAGAGAAGTTAGCTTTAGATGGAGGAGGGACACCTGTGGAAGAAAGGAAGAGGAGAAATGTAAATATGTTTGTCGATTTGTTAGCCAGAAATTTAGGAATCCTCTGTCTGGTAATGGGAATGTTTGTAAAGAAAGAGGTTAAGGTCATTTTCTGAAAGTGAGGAAAGTGGTTCTAAGATTGGGGGATTGAGGTAGGGGTTGAAATTTTGAAATAGGTACTGTAGAAAATGGGAAAGAAAGAGAATGGACTAAAGAAATATAGGGCTGCTGGGCTGCATTGAGGGTTCCCCTGAGATCAGAAATCATGAATGGACTTACAGTGGTACCCATCTATAGCTGTGTGATTTTTCTATTGTAGTGCTAAGTAGCTTGGCTGTGAGCATTGAACCAGGTTGGAATTCTGCCTGGCAAGCATGATGGCAGGGTCTATCTAGGCGAGGATGTTAAGTTCATTGATGAGAAACTGTTGAAGTCATGAACCATGAAGGCAATCCGAAAAAGAAAGAAGTGAAAAAAATGAAGGTGCTGATAGGGAGAGAGAAAGGAAACTAAGTTGAAGAACTTGTTTCTACGAAGTTGAATAATTGCTCTGGTGATGATAGTATGAGAGTCAAAAGAGTATAGGTGGCAGACTGTAGGATATTTGAGTTTGTGATTTTAGAGGAAGGATCAGTCTGAGAGAATTCAGGATTCAAAGTTAGATGGGAAAGAGAGTATCAATTCAGGGTCATTTAAGAAAATCACATCAGCTTGAAAAAGATGATTTGGCAGCCATATGTAGAGCAGACAAGAGTGAGGAGGTGCCGAACTAAATCATCTAAGAGGCTTATTTGCATGAATTGAGTATTTGAATTGTAGATCTGAAGAGGGAAAATAGGTTTTCTTTCTTTCTTTCTTTTTTTTTTACATCAAAAGGAAGATAGATAACTTCTCTTTCTTAAGAGAGAGAGAGAAAAAAATTAAATTGTGTGCCTGTCTAAACCCTAATAGGACCAAAACAGTATTTAGTGGCTGCAGAAATCTCTAATAGCATTCTTATTAACGTCTTCTTTGTAGTCAATAATAATACATATATTCTCCATCTCAGCTTTGAGCTAAACTTATGCAGTTGACTTTGAAATAGATCCATTTCATAATTTAATGAAAATAATGCCCTAATAAAAGATATGAATAAATCTATCTTTTCGTATCTTGTGGTGTGTTCTTAACATTCATGCATAATTTTGAACATGGGCAATGAGAAAAGTAATATAATATTTTCTAGCATTTTCCTGATGAATTTCTTTCTAGTCTTTTTTTTTTTTTTTTGACTGGGGAATATACTTGCATTGATGTAATTAACGGGATTATTACATTTATAACAGTTTCTCATTTAACATGAGTATTTCTCTTCATAGGCATCATTTAAAATGACTGCATAATAGTCTGCCATTTTCTTTCCTTTTAGGTTTGTGTTTAAAGTATATCATACCCATCATTTTAATTTTCCCTGTGCTTTTTTATACTTCCATCTCAAACACAGATGTGTATGGATATATGCTAACAACACAAATGCTCGTGGAAACACAGTTACTGATTTGACTATTTTATATGGAGCAGACACTGTGAGAGGGAGTCCTCGTGCGTGTCTTCTTTTATTCTCGCGGTGATTGGCATTTGTTAGCAAATTAATGGCCTATGACTTTTAAAAATTTCGAGATTTTTGTGTCAAGATTCAGATTTATCTCCTTTCTTGAAAACAGATCACTTGTCAGTGCTAGAACCTGTAGTTACACATGGTAACTGTATGATGGATTCCTGCGTTGGTACCCCTTTTCCACAGTGCGTGTGTTCACTTCATCACCCTGCCTTCCCCTGGATGCCTCCAACATTTATATTACTTGCCAGCCCCCTGTAGGCATTTTATTTTGACACTTGATCTAGGATAAAGTAAGGGATAAATAAATGATTATCTTCTTCATCAGTGCTGGAGCTGTCATGACTCTGTTAGCCACATGTGACTATCCTGTTGCCTGCTTCAAAATTCTTGTGGGATGGCCTTTTCTTCTACTATCTATCACAGAAAAAAAATCCAGTTTCAGCATTAATTAGAAAGTTATAGCTACTACTGGATCACATAGAACATTCCCAAAGTCCAAAAGATCTAAATGCTTCAGATCACCGATTTGCATTTCTGTTCCCTTTTATTAGATGAAAAATCAAGAGCCAAGTGCTTTTCAGTTCTCTGCTAGTATGGTTTTGTTAATTTTCTGACTTCTGGCCTAGATGTTGACATTAAACAAAATGGGAGATGTTTGTACACAAATGTATTCTGTGAATCACTTGGGATTACCATTACTGAGACCATGTCTCCTGCTTAACAAAGAATAATTATAGAATGGACTCTATTCCTTATATTTATATGGGCCTGGTCACAATGAGAGCCACAGTTGTTTTGTGTCAATGAAGAGCTTCCTTTTTTTGGAGAGGATTGTGTAAAGAAAGTATTCACGTTAAAGGATCCATGGCAAAAGATTTTGGGTTATACCCAAGGCCTTGATTTAGTCACAACAAAACTTTTCATTTTCTTTATAGGTGAAGATAAATAATGATTTTAATTATGAATTTTACAACAGTAGCTGGTCTTATGTTAAACATACTTCAGCAGAATATACATCATCTAGTAGGAAACGCTCCTTTTTTAGATCTTCAGCATCTTCTTCGTATAGTCATATTTCACATAGCAATGAAATCCAAAAGCAAAAGGTTAGTATGAAACATGAGTTAACTTTTCCATATTTTACTGCTTAAGTATTTCTAACATTAACAAAAGTGTATTTACCAAAAGGATCAGCTTTCATTTTTAAATTAGGGTAGTAGTATCTTCTTCAAAGAGACAATGTAATATATTTCCTTAAGAGGTAACATTGTATCTTGTCAATTCTCTTGGATAATATATCTATTAATACTTTGTCTTCTTTCTTTCTTTCTTTCTTTCTTTCTTTCTTTCTTTCTTTCTTTCCTCTATGACTAACCTTGGGCTGAAACTCACGACCTCAAGGTTAAGAGTTTCATGCTCCACTGACTGAGCCAGCCAGGCACCCCTATACTTTGTTTTTCTTATTAAAGTATTTGTTCTTATTTGAGAATCTTAAAAAAGCATTACTTTCAAATCTACTAGTTAAAATTTTCTTAAATTTCTAATTTATGATTACTATACATGATTATATGTGTTATAGAATTGAAAAAATCCTGTTAATATATGTTTTCTAAACAGTAATGCTAGAATCTTTCTTAGAAGGTGCATAAAACTAAAAGATTTTAAGACACTTTGTTACTTTTGAGATACCACATTAAAAAAATGTTATTTATTTATTTATTTTGAGAGAGAGAGAGAGAGAGAGAGAGAAAATGCATGTGAGGGCACGGGGGTAAGAGGAGGGGCAGAGAGAGAGGATCCCAAGCAGGCTAAGTGCTGTCAGCACAAAATTGGATGTGGGGCTTGATCTCTCAAACTGTGAGATCATGACCTGAGCTGAAATCATGAGTTGGACGCTTAAGTGACTGGGCCACCTAGGTGCCCTGAGATACCAAAATTTTTATCTGAGGAAGTTAAAAATCTTATTTTTAGATAGTTTGTTGTTTTGAGATACTAAAATTTTTATCTTGGGCAATCTGAACAGTTGAGATGACTTGTACTAATTGATGTATACCTACTGCTGATGAATTTTCACGTTGACCATCATTCAAAATCTGCATACTTCATCTCATTCTTGAAGTCAGTAACTTGATTAATAAATCACAGGGAGGTATAAAGGAATATTGATTTTGTTTGTTTTGTGACTAAGAATCTGACTGTGGGAATAAGAATTGTATAAACATTTATTGTATTTGTATTATTGTTCACAGAAATGAGGATTTGATATAAGGTAGATCTGTCTTGGACATCATTAAAAGATGCTTAGGAAGTGTTTCAAAGACCTCATATCCACTACTGGGTATTTACCCAAAGAATACAAACACTAATTCGAAAAGATAGATGCACACCTATGTTTATTGCAACATTATTTACAATAGCCAAATTATGGAAGCAACCCAAGTGTCCATTGATAGATGAATGGGTAAAGAAGGTATATTATATATATATACAATGGAATATTACTCAGGCATAAGGAAGAATGAAATCTTGCCATTTGCAACAACATGGATGGATCAAGAGAGTATAATGTTTAGTGAAATAAGTCATTCAGAGAAAGACAAATACCATATTATTTTACTCACATGTAGAATTTAAGAAAACAAACAACAGGGGCGCCTGGGTGGCTCGGTCGGTTAAGCGTCCAACTTCAGCTCAGGTCATGATCTCATGGTCCGTGAGTTTGAGCCCCGCGTCAGGCTCTGTGCTGACCGCTCAGAGCCTGGAGCCTGTTTCAGATTCTGTGTATCCCTCTCTCTCTGCCCCTCCCCTGTTCATGCTCGGTCTCTCTCTGTCTCAAAAATAAATAATCATTAAAAAAAAATAAAAAAAAAAGAAGAAAACAAACAACAACGAAAAGAGACAAACCAAAAAACCAGATTCTTAACTATAGAGAACAAACTGATGGTTATCAGACGGGAGGCAGGTGGGGGGGGATGGGTGAAACAGGTGATGGGGATTAAGGAGTGCACTTGTGATGAGCACTAGGTGGCATATGGAATTGTTGAATCACTATATTGCACACCTGCAACTAATATAACATAGTATGTAAATTACACTAAAATTAAAAAAAAAGCCTCATTATAAAGTGAGGAACCATAGTATGAGATATAAATTATATGTTCACCTTACCTATAAGTCATTGTCAATGTATACTCCTTAGGGACACATTATTTTATATACCTATTTGTGAGCTTGTTTAGTAGGGAATGAAGATGATGCTTTTTTTCTAGTTGAGATTTTAAAGGCCATATATGTAAGAAATTACGTATCACTCAGATATTCCTATTTGGCATTCCAAAAACTCTTTAGATTGCTTCAGGTGAGTGAGCCCAGAAAAGACCTCATCATGCATCAAAAATAAAAATTCATATAGTTTGGGTTGGAGGTGGCAGTTGATGGAGACATTGAACAGGAAAGTAATTTCACTGACTTTTTATCTTCAAACTAAAACTCCTTTTATTCTTCCTTCTTCCCATAGAGTCATCAATTGTTGGTTGTCCAGAACACTGTGGAAGTGGCTCAGTTTATCAATAACAATCCAGAATTTTTACAACTTGCTGAGCCCTTCTGGAAGGAACTCTCCTACCTTCCCTCTCTGTATGACTACGGTGCCTACCGAAGATTAATCGACCAGTATGGGACACATTATCTGCAGTCTGGGTCCTTAGGAGGAGAGTACACAATTCTATTTTACGTGGACCCAGAAAAAATCAAAGAAAGCGGTAGAGTATTAAAAAAATTTATTAACTACAAACATTGCAGGAATTTTAATGGGGGAAATAACATGTAGTTAGCTTAAACTTTTAGAGATCTAAAGTATGACAAATAGAGATTAAATTGCAAAGGAATCCAAAGTGGTGTGAATCCATTATAATCTACTCAAGCTCTTCAAACTGCCTACTCTTTTGGCTAGTACCCTGAAATGTGAGATAACCATCATCATTACTGGCTGTCTCCAGGAGGTATTGATTGGATTTTTAGAATACTTTTTAATGTTTTCCATTTCTCAGCTTAAGTAATATTCTTTGAGGAAAAGCTAATAAGGTATTATATTTCAGAAATCAAAATGTTTTAAAGAAGTATTTTATTTACCTCTGTTCATTGCCACTCATTCCTTTAAAAAAAACCTGCTCTGGATGTCACAAGATTGCTTACTACCTAATTCTTATAATAATGGCTTGAATTTATTGGATGCCTTTCTTACAAGAGGCAAGTTACATGTTAGCAATGATCCTCACTGCTACCCAGAGAGATGGCCACTATAATTCCTGTCCCACAGACTGAGCCATGGAGAGTCAGTGTTAGATAAGACTCACCCAAGGGCATATGGGTTGTAAGGAGGTCTAACTTGCTCCCAAGTCAGCTGAACTTTTTCCTTATGCTATGTTGTTGCTAGAATGGCCTGATTTTTGTTAGAATCAGTGCACACCACGGAGTTCATGATTTTTTGGACCCCTCTTACTAAGAGGACAGTCCTCACCATGTGTCCCGATGTGGGAGGGTAGAGGGTGGTGTCTTAGTGTCCATTCCTTCTCTCCAAAGACCTTTTGGCTGGTTTACTAATATTCTAAGTCAAACCTACTTCTTCCCAACTTTGTCCTTCAGCTGATGTCCACACTTCCTTCTCCATTCCAAATCACCTCTTAGGGGTCTTTCTCTTCAGTCAAGGCTCCCTTACAACCTTGGAGGAGAATAACACTTACTACATGAGATTCAGAGGAAATCTTGTAACCTTCCCTTGTGGGTGAATTACAATATTTTTCTATGTTTCCATTGGCTTTTTTTCCCCCCAATGGGCTTAGTTTTTTTGTTACCAGTTAAGATTTAACTAGAATTTGAACTTTTCTAACTTCCCTGGTTGGAAATGATGTATAAGCACAAGTTTTTTTGTAGCAATGACAGGGACAATATTTCTTTGGAAAATTAATCCAGCAAGTGGCTTGATCTAAACTTAGTTTCACTGCCTCCCAACCTTTATTCCTTAGCACTTAAAGAAATAGGGGAGAATTTTATTAAAGGTTTCCAATTTGGTCAAAGCATATTTTTTAAGTAAAAATTTTACTCTTGAGAAGTTTCTGTCCTTCCTAAAAGTTCTAACTGAAACATAATCAAAACTCCTGAGATGTAATAGATCCCCCCAATTATTCCTTAAGAAATATTGAGATTATTACAATACAGTTAGCAAAATTATATAAGAAAAATATATTTCCACACTTATTATTTTCTATCCTTCTTTAAAAAATGCATTGGCAAAACTCCATTTGATAATGAGTAGAAATTGTTACATTCTGAGGTTATGAGTTATGGGAAGGAATTGTTAGAAACTAGAGATAGTAAACATATTAAAATCAAGAGATTGAGGCAGTAGACCTGAGGTTTTAGGAATTAATTACTATAGAATCAGAACCCAGCTTTTGGGGTTTCCAGTAGGTGGACTGGGGCCATCACATGCCTACTTTTATCTGTTTGCTTCATACTTGAGAAGCTGACTGTATGTGGGTCAAAGATATCACTGTTCCGGGTGTTCCTTCCACTGTTTCATGTAGAAATCACCCCAGTCTCCTCTCTCTGATCCAAGATAATAGAAGCCAAAATTGCTGAATCATTTGAAAGTAAGTTTCAGACACACGATGCTTCATTCCTAAGTGTATGCATGTATGTGTTATTTTGTTTAATAACAAAAAACAAATATTCCTTTTTCTGACCCTTGATCCTCCTACAGCACTTGAAAATGTCCCTATCATATCACTGTTGATTAGATGGCCACAATAGTAGAGTATCCCTATCCTCCCACCTGGCTGCATCTCAAAAGACGTGTTTAACAAATGCAGAAATAAAACCTTTAAAACTTTTCCCTCAGGTCTTAGTTCAACAGATATAAAGACATGTACTTCATCAAGTTTCAAATTTTTGTATTCGTCATCAGAGGGCAAATGCAAGGAGCTGGAAGATGCCTTAAAATCAGATTCAGGTAAATAAGAAGGGGGCAATTTGCATTACAAGCTTAATCTCCATCCCTCTCTCTTGTGGTTAATTCCTGGCCTCAAGGTCCTTTGAAATTTTAGCAGGTGTTCTATCTTGTGTTTTTAAAAATGTATTTGGTTATTTTTGCCTCTGCTCTCTCTTTCATATGTCATGACAGTGAGACACTGCCATGGAAAGTTCACTGGGTATCTCCTGTGCACTGTAGATGTGTCCTCAGCATATACTACCTTTTCCACCTGCAGTGACAGTTGGCAATCCAGCCTAGAAAAAGGACACCAACAGGAGAGATTTAGTTCCACTCTGACATGGATGCTCAGATGCTGCTGCTGGTGGTGGTGGTGGTCGTGGCGATGGCAGAGGGAGTGGGGAAGGTGGTGTGCTATTCTTTGAGTGATTAGAAAGGAACTGGAAAAAAAAAAAAAACTGATTTAGATTGTGTCCAGATGCCCTGTTAAGGAATTTGGATTTCATTCTGGTAACAAGAGGGTACCATTAAAGGATTTAGTACAGGAAGTGATTAAATGAAAGGTTACAAAGATAAAGTTGTAGAGAAAGAAGAGGGACTGAGAAGGGATAATCTGACAGGATAAGAATCAGCGAAGAGGTGCCTGGCTGCCTCAGTTTGGTAGAGCTTGCAACTCTTGATCTCAGGGTCGTGAATTTGGGCAAAAAGCCTACTTAAAAAAAAAAAAAAGAACCAGAAAAGATCAGTAACATTAAAAATAAAGGAGAAAGAGAAGTTAATAAAGAGAAATTCTAGACAGAAGTTAAGTAAGAGAAGGGCTGGAGACTGTTCATTGAATTTGGTGATTACAACTTAACTTGCCTTACAGTGAACTTCTTAGTGTGGTAGCAATGGACTGAGCAGGTACTAGAGCTTAAATTCTCGGTGACAGCATAAATTGGGGCAAAGGTGAAGACTGACCCAGATGCCAGAGTTCTTCCTGAGGAAGTGGGGATTCTTGGGATATTGGCAGATGACTGTAGGAAGGAGGAAGACAGAGGAATGAAACCAGGTGTATTTACTCATTCACTTCCTTCATTCATCAGCTGTTTATGGAGCCTGTGGTACATGCAAGGATTTGTTCTAGGCACTGGGGTACAAGCAGTGACATGCCGGAGAAAATGGCTGTCTTCATGGAGTTGGCATGACAGAGGAGGAGGACATGTTTTTGTTTTTGTTTTTTTTTAATTTTTTTTAAGTGTATTTATTTGAGAGAGAGAGAGAGAGAGGGATACGGAGAGAGAATATTCATGAGCAGAGGAAGGGCAGAGAGAGAGGGAGAGAGAAAGAATCCCAATCCAACGCTGATGTGGGGCTCGAAATCACAAACTGGTAGGTCATGGCCTGAGCCGAAATCAAGAGTCGGACACCCAACCGACTGAGCCACCCATGTGTCCCAGGAGGACATGCTTTTGAAAGAGATGGAAATATGGTGATCTGGAAATAGAGATGAGTGGGAGCTTTGGGAAGATAGAGACATCAGTTATCAGCTGGGCTGGCTACTGGAAGCTGCTCACTGATTTTATTTGATGTTGTGTTTAACGCACACATAGCACACATAGCTAGGTATTATTCATATTCTCATTATACAGACAGGGACTCTGAGTGACAGAAAGATTGCCCACGATCACGTTTGGTAAGCGTCAGACATGAGATTCAAAGGCATGATGTGTGGCTTCACAGTCTGGGCTCCTGATTGTCACACCATGCTGCTTGTCTGGGGGAAGAGGGCCAGAGGGAGCAGAGAGCTCCCTGAGGTATGGAGAGAGAGGCTACCGGCTTAAAAAGAAAATTAAAATGGATTTCTCAGAATCTGTAATTCATAAACAGGTGTGCCAGGGCAGGCGGTGATTTCTCCAACTTTACTATACGCGGGGATTACCCGGGAAGTTGTTAAGATGCTGGTTCCAAGGCTCTCCTCCCAGCTGTTCTCTTAGCGGGTGTTGAAGCTCAGAAATGTGTAGTCACTCCGGGTAGCAGCGGAGGGACTGAACTTAGTTGTGATAAGCTGCCTTAAAAGAGTGACTATGTGCATATCAAAACCGGAGCTAACAATGACAATGAGGATGCACTCCAGCAATTTGTCAAAAACACCGGGCTTTAATAATTTCTTTTTTTTAAAGTTTCTTTTTTTTAAAGTTCATTTATTTATTTTGAGAGAGAAACAGAGGGAGGGACAGAGAAAGAGGGAAAGAGAGAGAATCCCAAGCAGGCTCTGCGCTGTCAGCACAGAGCCTGTCTCGGGGCTCCAACTCACAAACTGTGAGATCATGACCTGAGCCAGTCAGATGCTTAACAGACTGAGGTACCCAGGCACCCTAGGCTTTAATAATTTCTGATAAATGTACAGTTTTTGAATTTGCAAAATTTTACGAAATTGCAAATTTTCATTAAAAGAAATGAACTAAAGATCACCCCAAATCTGGTTTGCAAGTTAGGAATTTCCAGTCATGACCAGCATAAAAATCAATTACAAATGGAGACAAAAATATTTCTGAAATTATAAGGCACTTAAATGCAGAAAAGAATTTAATTGGTATTTACTGTTTAGAACACTTTTCATGTGTTAATGTATGCCTGTTAATTAATAGCTTTTTTTGCTTAGTTAATATTCCAGATGCAATGAACTCCCCCCATTTATTTTTATTTTTATTAAAACATTTTTTTTAATGTTTATTTTATTTTTGAGAGAGACAGACAGACAGAGAGTGTGAGAGGGGTGGGGTCAGAGAGGGAGACACAGAATCCAAAGCAATCTCCAGGCTCTGAGCTGTCAGCACAGAGCCCTATGTGGGGCTTGAAATCACAAACTGCGAGATCATGACCAGAGCCAAAGTTGGACGCTTAACCGACTGAGCCACCCAGGCGCCCCTAGTTGAACCATTTAGAAACACATTCCATGATGCTTCATCCCAAAATATATATTTATTTCCTAAGAAATAAGATAGTCTCCTGTATAACATAACGTTCTTATTATACTAAGAACATTAAGAATATGAACAATAATTCCCTAATATCATCTACTGTCAGGTAATGATTGTGTTTTTCTTTTCTTTTTCCTTTTAATAGATATTTTTGAGAGTCGTTTCAGATTTACAGCACAATCGAGCAAAAAGTACGAAGAGTTTCCATATACCCCTGTCAGAAACTAAGGCCTCCCCACTCTCAGCATCCTCCACCACGGGGTGCATTTGTTCTAAGTGATGAATCTACGTTGACATATCATCATTGCCCAAAGTGCATAGTTTATGTTAGGGTTCCTTCTTGGTGTTATACATTCTATGGGCTTGGACAAATGTATAATGCCATGTGTCTACCATGATAGTGTGATGTAGAGCAATTTCACTGTTCTAACAATCCTCCGTGCTCCAACTATTTACTCCTCCCACCCACCACTGCTGGCAATCACTGATGTTTTCATTGTGTCCATAGTTTGTCCTTTACCAGAATAGGATGGGTTGTGTTTTAGTACTTGAGAGACATTTCACTTTTTTATTCTTCTCTTTGTTTCCTTTGTGCATCCTGACCTATTTCATTTGATTTCTCCTCGTATAGGAACTCAAAGCAATGTTCTGCGAGGGAACCCATTTGTCAGGGGGGGCAGTTCGGGCTTCGTGTCTGGCCTCAGTTTCCTGGAGCTGGACAATCCTGCTGGAAACAAAGAGCGATATGCTTCGTGGGCGGAATCTGTGACTGGTCTTCCCCAAGTCATAAAACAAAAGGTACGTCCTGCTCTGTTGAAAGCACACAAAGCAGACATGTTTATTCGCATTGGGAAAATGAGATTAAATCAAGGTGGTAAAACAGAGACAGCTGTAATTAGCATTTTTGTATCCCAATTATGTTTTGTATAGCAAAATGAGTGCATACATAATAATAAGAAACAGAAGATTCATTATCTTGCATGTCCATATTTCAATTGTAAAGGTTAAATGTCTTGTAAATCCCAAGGGAAATTAGTAACAAAATTTGCATTTTAAGCTTTTGACCTAAATTTGATTATGTTTTCCTTGGTCTCTAATTCAGAGGAATTATAGGTTCTTGCAAGAGAAAGGCATTTAGGCTTGTCTACTGTCTCATCAGATCACCTCTGTTCCTCTGGCCATGGCATGTAGGCTCTTGGAGACATGTAAATTAAAATAGAACAAATCTGACTGGCAGAATTTTAGGATGTTTTATTGATACAGTCACTTCTGTCATAATGCTACGTATGTGTTCCTAAAATCAGACAGCTAGACAGAATTGCACAATGAAGACCCCCTGGCTTATGGGGAAAATGGATTAAGGACACAATACTCAAAAACTTGATCTATGACACTCATTAAAAAAAATAGGCATCAGTAAAAACAATAGTATAGCTTTGTATGTGTTAAATTGTTAAGAAACGCATATATATTAATGTAGCACAATTCTTAGAAAAAGACTGGAAGCTTGCTGGGTGCTGGGTGGGTTAGAGCCTTTGACTTATTGGGAAGTGGTAGGAGGAGAGCTGCCAGAGGACAGACGGTTTCTGCATCAGATGTGGATGGGTGTAGTATATTACACAGGCAGTGAACTGCATGGATGCTTGAAGTGTGTGTTTGTGTGTGTGTGTGTTTTGTGTATTCCTATGTTGGTTCAGTTGTGTCCACTTTTCTGGGTTCACCTGGTTTTTCTTACGGATGAAATTGTATGAAATTTGTGATATGCTCATGGTGTTCCCTAACACATCCATCCCAATGGAACAAATTTACCCTTTCAAAACAAGTGCTATGGCAGAACTGATCCTATGATCTATTCTCTGTCATGGGAGTCAAGAAATGTCTCAGGTGAACTTGACTTGGACACATTTTATAATCCGCCCCCCCCCCCCAAATTACAAAAGCTTCTTAAGCACCCTCCCAACACCATATCCACCCATTTGCCTCTAAGTAAGGGTAAAAGAAAGAGGCCAGTTTTCCTGGGAGGTCTTATCATAACGTGCCACCATCGATATTCACAATGACCTATTTTCAGTGCCAGTGCCCTGTTACAAATCTTAAAAAATTCTAAGTTGTTGATTAGGGAGGATCAGACATTCCTTCTCATTCTCAACTCTGCATTTCTCCACATAGGACTGTCACTATCATAGCTGTGCTAACTTATTATAGGTATACATCCACGCAATGCCATCCAGTCAGTTCTTTTATAATGCAGCGTGAGAGAGTTTGGGCAGAGACGGAGGGAGATGTGGCTGGGTCTGTAAGTTATCCTCCTACTCCAGTGGTATGCTGTAGCCAGCTCAAGATGGACCCTCATAACAGCCAAAGGTGCCTATCTCTGCCCGACTCCATGGTCACTGGCATCCCAGTGGCAACCTGAAATCGGCCATGGGAAGAGTAGTTATACTGCAGAAATTGGCAAATGCTACAAATCAGAGCATTTTTGTTCTTAGGAGAGCAGATTGTTAAAGCTTAGCCAGCACATCTAGGGGCTCCAAGCTGCTTTTCATCAGACATATTCAACACAGAGAAGTAATGTCTGTCTGTTTTAAATTTTGTCAGGAAGAAAGAGTCATGGTCTCTGCTAAGAGACATGTTAAGTCTCTTAGAGCTGGGTATTTAATCTTAAATTTAATTGCACTTGCTTCTTCACTGTAATTTAAGTGCATTTCCTTTTCTTCTGCCCTCTGCAAGGGTAGAAATGTACTTCCTTCAAAATAATCTTTCAATAACTAGAAAATGAATGTCCTGTTGGTTTTGAAAAATTTTATGCAAGATACAAAAAATATTCCTTCCCTGTTCACTCCTATTTTTCCCTTTGTCTTGCAAAGAAAGTGAATTGCTTTCTTTTTATTTGAAGAAGAAATAATTGGAATTAAGATGAGAGTGGCTTTTGATTTTTATTTTAATGGAGATTCAGCCTAAATGCCAGGAGAAAAATATTCTTGCCTAAAACCCCGATTTACTGACCATGATGTCTTTATCTGTATAGCTGACCCCTCTGTATGAGCTGGTAAAGGAAGTACCCTGTGCCTCTGTGAAAAGACTATACCTGAAGCGGGCTCTTGAGGAATATCTGGATGAATTTGACCCCTGCCATTGCCAACCTTGTCAAAATGGTGGCATTGCCACCGTCGAGGGGACCCAGTGTCAGTGCCATTGCAAACCATACACATTTGGTGTGGCTTGTGAGCAAGGAGTCCTCGTGGGAAATGAAGCAGGTCAGTGTGCTGAGTTTTTGCTAGTTATGCTGGCACTGTGAAAAAGGAATCACTCTTTTCCGCTGATCCCTGAGATCATGCTTCTTTGTGTATTAATTTAGTGTCTCCCTTCCTATTGCACTTCTGGGTTCTAGCAAGGGGGTTAAGGCCCTCTGCTGTCTCTGTTTTCCTGTCTTAATGAATAGACCCACATGCCCTCCATTCCCTGTTCTCCATTAGAATAGATTAATGCCTAAAACACGCCTCTCTTTTATGCCATAGTCAGCTCATTGAGGTTTTGTCGTAACAGGTCTGTGCAGCTAGTGTGCACATGGCTTAACCTTTCCAATCGCAAGCTCTTTGAAATATCTCTATTTCTATTTTGTATTATGTTTTATCAATCAATTACTCACAAATACTTTCTGAACATTTGCTGAATGTGCTCAACTGAAGGCTTGGTGCTTTAGAGGCACATCAGTTCACACAGAACTGTGTGAAGCTTGACTTTATGAGTAGACAAAGTGTGGGACAGTTTTGTATTTATTTATATGCCTCTCTCCTCTAGAAAACTCATTTCTTAAGGTCAGGGCTGTGATTCCTTTTTTTTATTCCCAGAGCCCAACAAGGCTTGATTCATAGAAGTCACTTAACAAATGTTTGATGAATGAATGAATACATGACTGAACTATGATTGCTTGTAGACAAGCGTCAGGAAAGCCTCCTTGCCTCCAAATGTCTTCCCAAGTAGCCTGTCTGGTAAATTGAAATTCTACCACTTTGATTTCATTCCTTTGTGGCTTGGATTTCCTATTATTTGATAAAATGGAAGCTCCCCCTGCTGGTAAGGATTGGGGTAGTGATCATAATATATCAAGCTATTGTTACCCCTGTTAATATACTCAGAGGACTACTTTATTAACTCAATTTCTAATTATGGAAGAAAGTATAAGGAAACTCATTGGAAGATATAATCACATTAGTTTAGTTTTGGTGAGTATGATACTCAGGGGTGGGTGCCGAGTGGAGGAGAGACGGATGTAGGCTACACGGTAGAAATAGGTAAGGAGCAGTAAACAAAACCATCTATCAATTGGAAGTAATGTTTCAGGAGCATGGTCTCTGAGATCTGTTTGTAACCAGGAAAGCCAAGTTCTTAGAATATAGTGCAAGTTCTCTCTTGCCTACCCCAAGGTATATGATGGGGGAAAATTCTAAAAGCACCGCTGGTCATGAATCGGCCCTGAGTTGGAAGGTGGCCAGGCTGGGTTGAGGAAGTGCCTGCAGACTGAAGGATGTTGACAGGAGGTAAAAGCATTTCTCCTTCTTATGCATTTCCTCATTTTGTACAGTGCCAGCTCTGAGGTTGGCAGTCTGGAACCCAGTAGATTATGTTCTTCTCATGCCCAACCATGGCTTTTCCAATAAAAATGTTAACAGTAGGAACTGCTGTAATGAGAGGAGCCTGGACTCGGCCATAAGACCATGTTGCTGTCTGGACAGGACTCTTGGCAGCCATTGCAGCACCAGACATGACATTTAACCCCCTTGCCTTAGATCCCATACCTATCAAATGAGAATGGTAACAGACTTCCTGCCCACCCGGATTCATTCTTGTGAGAAGTAAATGAATGGCATGAGGTATGACAAAATGCTCTGAAACAGTTCTAAAATAATAAACAAATTTAAGATATAATTGCAAGAAGTTCGTTGATGCAGACTTAATATCAACAAACCCAGTCAATGTGCAGAGACATTATGGTCATTGAAGAAGACCTCCTGAACAGAGTGAAGGTAGTATGTGCCCAGACTGTCCCCTCCCTCAATAACTGCCTGAGCATGAAGCTTAATACTAGACTCTGAAATCTTTCTCTCCAAGTACTTTCTGAACAGTCTTTCTCTTATCTTACAGGAGGGGTTGATGGAGGTTGGAGTTGCTGGTCCTCTTGGGGCCCCTGCATTCAAGGGAAGAAATCAAGGAGCCGAGAATGCAATAATCCACCTCCCAGTGGAGGCGGGCAGTCTTGTATTGGAGAGCCAACAGAAAGCAGGCAATGCGAGGAGGAGGAACTCCAGCATTTGCGGTAATGGTGACCAGATCTCCTGGCAATTGCATAGAATAGAGTGCCCCCTGCAGGAAGTGTGGAATATGTGATTGCTGCTATTAAAAGATTTAAAAATTAAATGGCGATTTTTATCAGTGACTTTGCCTTTAGCAGTGGGGTCAGTTGAAGGAAGAAGGCATGTGTGGACAGCTTGCACTTGTGTGTTTCAAGTTTTTCTGATACAGATGTTACAAAAGGCTGGGTAACTAGAAGGTCATCTGGCCAAGGGGATCTGAGCAGCAGCTTTGGCATCAAGCAGATCTGCCACTTTGCTGTGTGACCTTGGTAACACCTCTAAAATTAGTATAATCATAGAAGGTAAAACAATAGTAAAATGTCAGAATTAAGTGAGATTCAGCATAGAAAGTGATTAGCACAGTGCCCAGCACATAGTAAGCATTGATTAATAGTTGTATTACTCTTCAGATATACCAATCCTATTCATTCATTTATTCATGTATTCTTGTATTCATTCATTCATTCATTCATTCATTCATTCAGGATTAAGCATAAAGCCAGATGCTCTAGATGGCTAATATCTTGACTGATTAGCCCACCAACTTCCCATTTGCCGGGACCTTGCAAATTCATCAAGTCTCCTGACTAGGAAGCTGGTGAGCATATGGAATTACTGTAGGAGGAGAAGCTACCTTTGAGGCACATATCTCTGGGAGGATGAGGGTCTCCAGCAGAGGAGGCCTCTATGGACTGAAGCTGGAAGGAAAGGAGCATCCTATGGAGGCACTGAAGGAATTCTCACTCTTCTTGGTGCTTGGAGGGAGAGAATGTTCTCCTCTTCCTGCCCAGTACAAAGAGGAAAATCATGATCAATACTTCACATTTCTGAGTTTCCTCAAAGTGTGGAAAGCGTATAAGGAACTCAGTTGAGAAGAAGGCGACATTCACCGGCTATTCTGTAATGCTTTCCCTCAGATTTCAGATCTCTAGAGTGGAGGTAATACTGGTGGCACGTTGGCTTCAGAGGCCATAAAACTATTGTTTAATGATGGATGTCACTGGGATTACCATTATTATGAGCTTCCTCTAGAGATTGCCTTGCGGGAGGTAGAAAGAGCATGACATTAGGAGCCGAACCGACTACAACATGAATGCTGCCTTGGTATTTATTACCTTATAACCTTGGACAAGTCATTCAAACTTTCTTTTCGTCACATACCTCATAGGGTTACTGTGAAGGTGCATTGAGATGTTGCGTATTTATAGAGCAACTGCCAAGGTGCCTATACAGAGTAGATGTTCCCTTTCTTGCAGGGTCACTAACAGGAATTCCTTTATTTTTAATCCAGAATCAATTCCATGTTAAAGGCACTTCAGAACCAGACAGCCGAAGAAAAAGTAGGTCTGAGGCAGGTGACCTCTAGAAATCCCATGAAGTCGGTGTTTTGTCCAGAGACTTTTATTTCCTTTTCTTTCTCTTTGTTTTTCTTACTACTGACTTAGTAGCTATTTTTTGGTAGTTTATGTTTGAGTTTTCTATCACAGGATATGATCAGATATTGATCCCGAGAATGACAAAAATAGCACATCAGCATGTTTACAGGAATGGAGTTCTTTCAGATGTTAATGAAAAATTCGCTGTGGTGCAAAATATTTATTATGCTGTGGAAATCCATCACATTAATTATGTTTTGTTTCCTTTTCCTTTCAGATTGCTTGAACCACATTGTTTTCCTTTGTCTTTGGTTCCAAAAGAATTCTGTCCATCACCTCCTGCCTTGAAAGATGGATTTGTTCAAGTTGGTTATGAAAGATATATTGTTTTCCTCTGCATATGCTCTTTTCTCCAAGTTCTCTCTCTCCCTAATGCCATAATCGATTTCCTTCTTCCATGATGAAATAGTGCTACAAATAGTTTATATGTGCATTTTAGTTTTAGTGGTAAGGGTTTTAGTTTGTGACTTTACTTCTTTGGCCAAGGTGATTAGAATTCTGCAGAAGGCAGTGTATCTTCTGCAGTAAGGTAAATCAATACTGCTGCCCAATGAAATTAGAAATGTAATCATGCCAGAAGGCTGTTAAACATTTCCATTCTTAACACTAAAATAAGAATCCATAAGCAAGTTCTGCAGCAAAGAGGACTTTCTCTATTCTTGCCACTGAGAAATGTCTTTCTAAAGATTTTTTTAAAATGTTTATTTATTTATTTTTGAGAGAGAGAGAGCAGGGGAGGGGCAGAGAGAGAAGGAGAGATTGAATCCCAAGCAGGCTCTGTGCTGTCAGACGCAGGGCTTGAACCCATGAACTGTGAGATCATGACCTGAGCTGAAATCAAGAGTCAGACACTTAACTGACTGAGCCATCCAGGTGTCCTGAGAAATGTCTTTAAAATTTTTTTTTCGGAAATGTTGGGTTTGGGAAGAAATATTGGGTTTATTCCGGAAGCCGATAAGACATTTTGCCAGCATTGGTGAGATATGGGTCATTATACTTGGAGCGATTTTCTTGTTTAGGAAGGAACACAAATCACCTGCCACTTGTCATTCTAGGGAATTTTCTTGGCCTTGAGGCCATATTAATTTCTGCTCTTCTCACTGCTTGTTATGATGAGGCTTTGGCCTCAAGCTCCAATGAAGTCTCCTACTGGCTCACGTAGGAGGCTTTTGTCAGGACCCTCTCAGTGCCGCCAGCCTTGCTTTCTCAAAGGGTTTGCCTTTGAAATTCTAGGCCTTTAAACACACACACTGACATTTTGCTGAAGTTTCCCCAAATGTAGATACTGTTGGGAAATGGAAGAGGGCTTCTGTGTGTGTGTGTGTGTGTGTGTGTGTGTGTGTGTGTGTGTGGAGAGAGGGGAATGAGCCCAGCATCTCTAACACTCATTCTGTCCCAATACAGTCACCACAATCTACTAAGTTCCTGAAGGAAACACAGGCTTGGCGAACAAGGCCAAACAAACTCATATACTTCGGCAAACCATGAACTGTTGTCCCAAACTCCAGTGCATGTGGTGTCCTGTAAGGGGCAGGGGTTCTGAACACTGCCCCATGGACGGGCTACATCACAGTCACCCAGAGAACTTAAGAATAGAGATTGCTGCTTGCCCCTTACCTTCCTTTTTTTTTTTTTTCTTTCTCATTCTGTAGGTTTAGGATAGAGCCTGAGAGTTGGGCCTTTTTTTTTTTTTTTTTTTTTTTTAATTGCTACTAGTGGTTCTGGTACAGAACCAAGTTTGGACACTGTTATAACAGTCCCTTCTGTCAGGCAGACCGCCTATTGGCTAGAACCAAAGCAAATCAACTGTGCTTTCCCAATTTATTCAAACTCAAGTATTAACCTGGGCCCTTTGTTTCCTACCAACTGGAGCCAGACTGGACCAGGACTGACAGTGAATAGTAGAAGGCACCTTGGGATTTGGTTCTAATGCCTGGAGTAGCCAGGTGCTAATGCCTAGCTCTCAGCCCTTCCCCAGGCCGATTTTCTTTACCACCCCTGGGGTGGCAGAGAGCCCCAAGAGTGAGGAAAGGAACTAATAGAGATCCCGAAAGAGCATGATTACCCCTTTAAGTTTCAGCTTCAAATTCTTCCTTGCTTCACCATGAAAGCTCACCTCCTGGCATGTCCTTGAATCTGGCCCAGCCACAGTGGCCCTTCCCTTACAGGGTAGGGGCTGGAGCTTAGGATGGGAGAAGATCAGCATTACACTCCCTCTAAAAGTCATCAGTGAGAAACTTAAACTTTCATAAACATGCTGATAGGATTTGCACATTTCTGTCTGTTCCTACCAGCTTTTATTAGGCGGTATGGCCAATGAGCAGCCCATGACGTCTTACTATGAAGAACTGACTAACAAGTACATTTCCGAGATCTGACAACAACTGTCTTTTCCTGGAACATGCAGGGGCCGGTGGGGAAGGGACTTGGGCAGTGTCCACAAAAGTAATTTTGGTAAAATGCTTAGTACAGTGCTTGGTATTTGGGGACAATTAATAAATTATATGTGGCATTAATGGTTTTATTTTAGTTAATGGTAGTACCAGTGTTGTTGACTAGGACCATACAGGGAAAATTGTTTTTACAGATAATTTTTTAAATTAGTTATTTGAACTTAGTTTGCCTGATGACTAAAAGAAGGCATCATTTATAGCCCAAATATATCTAAAGAAACTTTTTTTAATGCAAAATAGACATACTCTCTCTTTCTCTTCTATTTCTCTTTAGGATGAAGGTGCCATGTTTCCTGTTGGGAAAAACATAGTATATACTTGCAATGAAGGTTACTCTCTAATTGGAGACCCTGTAGCCAGATGTGGAGAAGATTTACAGTGGCTTGTTGGGGAAATGCATTGTCAGAGTGAGTGGACTTGGTTGTAGCATATAACTTAAGATGAGAGAACAATGTGGAAGGGAATGAATCAAGATGAATAACCGCTCACTGTGTGGCCCGTGTCTTGACATTCCTTTCCTGAGAAGCTCATATGCTCCTGTTCAAGTTTCAGCTGTGTCTTGAAAAAGCCCTCAGCAGTCTCTAGTTGATAGTGCTTCTGTTAGGCGAGGCTCATTTCACTGCAATTTTAATGTTTCTGGTGCAAATTCGAATAGGCCAGGGAGCTCCATTCTGGCTAAGACCTTCAGAACATCCCATATAGTTCAATTTCTAGGGATGTGACCAAATCAGTGTACTTCCTTGATTGTCCTGCAGTATTAGTTGGTTCAGCAGATGGATAGAGCTGTAGAGATACATTTTTTGCTATATCAGTTGGTCTAGGCCATGGAGAAAAGCCTAGTGTACACGTGAACATCTTTTTCCTCTTGGGTATATACCTCTGAATAAAGTCTCTGAGTCATACGATGTACATACATTTAGACTTCGTAGATGCTACCAGACTCCCAAATGGTTGTACTAATTTACATCCCTACCAGGATCTGAGAAGCCAAGATTGCTCTGTATCCTTATCAACACTTGTATCAACAATCTTTAAAAAATTTTAGCTATACTGATGAGTGTGTAGCAATATCTTATTTTTTAATTTTGACTTTTCAATTTATATTTTTCCTGGTGACTATGTTATGATGCCTGTTTTCATGTTTATTTGCCATTTGCATATCCTCTTTGGTGAAGTGACTGTCCAATCTTTAGCTCCCCTTTTCTGTTGGTTTGTCTTTTTCTTATTTGTAGGACCTCCTCTCTTCCTCTTTGTTTCTGTCTCTATCTGTCTCTCTGTCTCTCTCGCCTGGAGTCCTTGAGCAGAAATTACTGAAATAGAATATAAACATTTTCTAGCTTACAGTAACAAAGCCAAAAGTTGGTTCTTTGAAACGTTTAATAAGATGCTTTTGCTTGAAGAGATTTTTTTCCCTTTATTGTGAATCTGCTGATAAGAAGTTGACCCAGTCTTTGTTCATCTTAAAATGTCTTTGTTTTATCTTCATTTTTGAAGGATGTTTTTATGGGTAAGGAATTCTAGGTTAGCAGTTATTTTATTTAAGCTCTTTAAAGATTTTATTCTAGTGAGACATTCACTCTTAGTCATACCACTTCTGGTTTGGAAATCTTATGTCTGGACACTTTTGGGAATTTCTCTTTTTTTTCTGGTCTTTGGGTTTCAGAAGCACCTCCACAGTGATGTGCTGAGGTGTGATTTTCTTTGTCTCTACCCTGGTTAATATTTGAAGCACTTCTTGAATCTGTGCTTTTATGTCTTTTGTCAATTTCAGGAGCTTCTTCGCCATTGTGTCCTCAATTATTGCCTCTGTCCAATTCTTGCCCATTTTTCCTCACAAGACACAAATGATATATTTTTTTAGATTGTATATATTACTACATTATTTTGTTTTACATAATTTTTTCTTCTCTCCGTTTCATCCTAAATATTTGTTAATTGATCTAACTTCCAGTTTATTAATTCTCTGTACACTTGTATATAATTTGCTTTTAAGAACTCTGTTGAGTTCTTAATTTCATTTTCCAATTCTAGATATTTCATTTGTCCACTTTTCTATACTTTCCTTTTCTCCATTGAAATTCTGTGCCTTGTCATTTAATTTTTTCCCAACATGTAAATCACAGTTATTTCAGGGTCCATGGCTGTTAATTCCATTCTCTGGACCTACTGGGGGTCTGTTTCTATTGTCTTTTTTGGGATTTTGGTGAATTCTTTTCCTTTTAAATGTCAGAATAGTTTTGATTAAATGCCAGACTTTATGTGTGAAAAAATAATGGAATAGTCTGAGGTTTTGGATGATGTTCTCTTCCTCTAGAAAAGACTTGATTTTGTTTCCTGCAAACAGTGAGGCTGTTTTATGTCCAGTTTACCTTTATTCCTAGGGTGTAACCATTAAGGGATCCTAGTGGAAGGTCTGAGATATCTTCCTAGGTCCCTCCTTTGTGACAGGACTGGACTCTACCTCTTTGTCCCCTAGCCCAATTAGACTGTTAAAAACTCTACTCAGCTTTTCAGCCACGAGCTATAGTTCCTCCTTAGTTTAGCAGCCTTTAAGCATTTTGTTTTCAAACTTAACAAATACCTCAAGGAGAAAGGCATTACCAAATGTTGTAATCACCCCTTTAGACTTCTCGCTAGAATCTTGTACCTTCAAGTTTTCATGGCCTTGGTATCTCTCTGATGCTTTCGGAAGTACTTTTTCCTTTACTTTTGTATAGCTTTTCTATTTGTCTTTGTGGGAGCATGATTGTGAAGCCAGTGATTGCGTCATGGCCAGAAACAAACAAATCTGATGCTAGATTATTAGCTTTATGAAGGCAGGATATGTAACTTGTATCTTGTTAAATCCCTAGCAGCATACAACGTACTTCGTTAAATATAGGCACTCCATAGATGCTGTTTTGGAATTAATGAGTGAATGGAATTTCTGATGGAAATGGTACAGAAACAGAGCAGTATTTTGTAGAATATTGTCCGAAGTCCATTAGAGAGATTGCCAATTTTTTTTTTCAAATCATGAATTCTGACTTGCTTCCCATAAGTATACATGTTTCTCTTTTTTCTCTTTGCTGTTTTCTCAAGCAGAAGATTTGAGGTAATGAATGTAACTGAGAAAGACTAGAGATGGAAAACCAAAGAACATTTAATACTTGTATGGTTTCAAGGTTAAAGGTGGTTCTTTAAAACTTTCAAATAATAAAAATATCTAATTGGATATATGCTAATGGTATGCAAACAATATGCAAATTTTCTTGGGAAAATTCTGGTAGGACTTCATCAGACCAGAGAGATAAGTGGCAGCGATGGAAAGTTTAGTTTTGACAGCAGCCTGGGCTTTTTAGGTCTCTGTTTATAAGGCTGATTCATTTTATGTTGTCACATTGCTTTGAGGGCAGGAGTGGAGGATGGGAACTGTTTTGGTCTTCAGTCTTTTATTGGTCAATTACATGCCGGGCACTGTGGGACATGTCTTTCCGGGCATCCTAGGAGTGAACTTACCTCTTCCTCTTTGTCCTGTAATGTGAAAAAGCAGAGCATGTGTATTAACACTATTCGAAGTTGTCTTTTTTAAAAACAGATGGCTTAGGAAAGCAATGACCTTTGTATTCTGTTTTCTTCTATCTTTAGAAATTGCCTGTGTTCTACCTGCCTTGATGGATGGCATACAGAGTCATCCCCACAAACCTTTCTATGCAATTGGTGAGAAAGTGACCATTTCCTGTTCGGGTGACATGTCCTTAAAAGGTCCTTCGACATTTCTCTGTGGATCCAGCCTTAAGTGGAGTCCTGATATGAAGAATGTTCAGTGTGTGCAGAAAGGTGAGTAGCTTGTAGGTCTGTCCAAGGACACCTGCACTCAGGTGAGTGAGGGTCCCTGTGGCGGTCCTTTATGGCACTGGATGGCCATAACTGTGAGTTATTCCCTCTGTCCTTGTCCCCCTACAAGAAGGTCGGCTCATAGATGGGGTAACAGACTTTGTTTCACATGGCATAGATAGATTCATGGAAAGCAAGGAAAAGCAAGAAGAGCCCTGTGGTTCTGAAACTAACTTAAATCCTTATCAAAGATTAGCTTTGTATCTGTTTTGGTGCCAAGAAAATAAAGGATTTTCAAAGGATGATTTCTGGCTTTTTTCCTGATTTTTTAAATGTACTTTTATTAAGTACCGAGTTTAAAAACATTCTGTATGTTTCCTTTCTGGGTTTTCAGAGGGTTTATTGGCATTATTGAAATAGAAAACTTAAAAGCATTTACATTTAACACTGCAGAGCAGAAGTTATTTAAAGCAAAGTGTTGTGGCTTGTGAAGCCGTTTTTAAGAGTGGAAATCCAAAAATCCAGTATTTTGAACATCAGGCAAATTAAAATGGTCTTTAAAGAAGCTATGGTTAAGAAGAGATTTAAAAAGCCGAACTATTTCTTTTTAGAGATATTTAAGGTGGGATGGATTTATTTTTTAAATAACCTCCTATTTCTTCTTTACTTACATTTTTTTAAACAAATGGAAAATACATGTTTGTGACAATTAAAAAACAGGAAAGAAGGAAAACTCACTTGCATTCAATTTTGTATGGTATTCTTATTTTTCTAGTGTATGACTTTATTTTTTATTAGTTTTTTTAATGTTTATTTATTATTGAGAGAGAGAGCATGAGCATGGGAGGGGCAGAGAGGGGAAGACACAGAATCTGAAGCAGGCTCCAGGTTCTGAGCTGTCAGCACAGAGCCCGACGTGGGGCTTGAACTCACAAACCGTGAGATCATGACCAGAGCCGAAGTTGCACGCTTAACCGATTGAGCCACCCAGGAGCCCCTCCAGTGTATGACTTTTATTTAATTCAATGCTGAAGTTTGCCTTTTACAGTGAGTATGAAGTACTAGATTTCATGAGTGATACCATCAGATGGATCAGATGGTCACAACTTAAGAGGGGGCAGGCTGCACAGAGCCGTCTGTGGCTGATGGCGGGCATGGGCTGTGGTATGAAACATAGATGCTGATGACAGAAAACAGGAGGGCAGCATGGCCAATGGTGTGCCTGCTGTGCTGGTTCCCACGTGCTCGTTAGCAGTCAGAGGTCCAGAGCAGGGACAAGTGCTTTGTTTTTTACTGCGCTGAAGCATAAATAGGAATTTATCAGGCATGTTTGAAGTAATGGACCTGTACCAGGAATTCTAAAATTAAAGAGAACAATGTACACTTGATGAGGTTGCTCTTTTATTCCGAATGAGATATTATATACTTATCTTTCTAAAATGTCTCCTTCATTCATTTTGTAGCACAATTCAGTATGTATTTTCTCCTACACAGTAGCAAATTCTATTACAGTTTTAATTAAGGGTATTTTTCAGGCCTGTGTGTTTTTCAGAAGTCATGATGAATATTAATAGTAACTACCCTTAAAATATGTCTATCACAAATAACAAACTCCAGGTTTGTCAGCCTCCGAGGTTGAGCTATTTCAATACCTGATGTATCGGTATTTAGTCTTTTTTTTTAATTGTGGTAAAATAAACATAACATAAAATTTACCATTTCAGCTTTTTTTAAATGTACAGTTCAATGCATTAAGTGCATTCCCATTATCGTGCAACCAACATCACCATCCATCTCCAGGACTTTCTCATCTTCCCAACTGAAACCCTGTGCTCATTAAACACTAACCACTGATTTGTCCCTCCCTCCATCAGTATGTAGTTTTGACATAAAGATATAGGAAGTTAAGAAAGCTGTGTTCTTTTTTTTTTTTTTTAATTTTTTTTTCAACGTTTTTTTATTTATTTTTGGGACAGAGAGAGACAGCGCATGAACGGGGGAGGGGCAGAGAGAGAGGGAGACACAGAATCGGAAAGAGGCTCCAGGCTCCGAGCCATCGGCCCAGAGCCTGACGCGGGGCTCGAACTCACGGACACGCGAGATCGTGACCTGGCTGAAGTCGGACGCTTAACCGACTGCGCCACCCAGGCGCCCCAAGAAAGCTGTGTTCTTAAACGCAAAGGTCTTCGGTCTAGCTGATTCTACCCATGATTTTTCATAAAGAAATTGTAATAACTTCTGGAAAACATTTAAAATCTAAACTGTCATTCTTATGAATGATTAACCAATAAACTTTTAAAAAATATCATTTCCAGTTTTATTGAGAAATAATTGACATACATCACTGTAGAAGTTCAAGGTATACAGCATGATGGTTTGATTTGCATCCACTGTGAAATGATGACCACGGTAGGTCTGCTTAACATCCGTCATCTCACAAAAGCACAATTAAAAAAAAAAAAAAGAGGGGTGCTGGAATGGCTCAGTCGGTTAAGCGTCCCACTTTGCTTAAGTCATGATCTCATGGTTCATGAGTTCGAGCCCCATGTTAGGCTCTGTGCTGACAGCTCAGAGCCTGGAGCCTGCTTCAGAGTCTGTGTCTCCCTCTCTCTCTCTGCCCCTCCCCTGCTCATGCTCTGTCTCTCAAAAATAAATAAACGTTAAAAAAAAAAGAAAAAAAGCAAATTTCTCCTTGTGATGAGAACTCTTATGATCCACTCTTCCAACACTCTACCTGTATATCATTGAGCAGCATCAACCACATTACATCCCCAATACTCATCTCTCTTATAACTGGAATTTTGTACTCTTCGGCCACCTTCTTCCACTCCCCTCCCCCTCCCCTCATCTCTAGCAAATAAACGTCTAAGCACAATGAAGAGCTCATTTGCATGGCTTTATCATAGAACTTTAGTTTTGGTACATTTAGATTAGACTTTTCTTAACCCCAACACTATTGGAAGTTTGGGCCCGGGAGCTCTTTGTTGTGGGAGTCTGTCTTGTGCATTGTAAGATATTTAGACATTGCCAAATTGCCCCTGCTTGAGAAGCACTGATCTAGATAACACCACCTTAAAAAGCATTTTATTTTGGAATAATTTTAGATTTCGGAAAAGTTGCAAATAGAGTTTCTATATGCCCTTTACCATGTTCTCATAATATTAACATCTTATATAACTTGACATAATTTAGTGGGTTGACTAAGACATTAATATTAGTGCAATACTATTGACTAAACTACAGACTTTATTTATATATCATCAGGTTTTCCACGAATGTCTTTTTTTTTTAATGTTTATTTATTTTGAGAGAGATTGAAAGCACAAGTGAGGGAGGGGCAGAGAGAGAAAGAGGGAGAGACAGAGAATCCCAAGCACACTCAGTGCTGTCCGCACACAGCCCACTGTGGGACTTGAACCCACAAACTGTGAGATCATGACCTGAGATAAAACCAAGAGTCGGATGCTTAACCAACTGAGCCACTGAGGCACCCCTTTACTGATGTTGTTTTAATGGTCTAGGATCCAATTCAGGATACTACATTGCATTTAGGATACTACTATTATAAAGGGGAGTATTTAAAGAATGAGTACTTATTATACACATTGCTGAACCTGGCAGACTACAGTTCACATATTTACCATTTTTACAAGTTACGAATTGTCCCCGAGATTTTACTGTCTTGTCTAAAGCTCTTAGGTTTTCCAAAGTGAGGAAGTATCGCATAGTTTGTGCATCCGTAAAAATATGCTTTTCAGATAAACTACCTTTATAAATATATCCAACAGAGAACTAGTTTTATGATGGGAAAGTATATATACCATTGAATTCCATTGTCATGAAGCAGGAAGGAGGTGGGAATAACAGGATGTTTTAGGTTAGTCACCTTGTAATCAGGTATAGCTGAGGAGACGACAGTTAAATTAAGCTCTTGTAAGCTGGCCTAAGGTGTTTTCCTGTCAAAGTTGGAATGATGGTTGACTTTTGATCCATTTGTAGAAAACATAAAGGAATGGAAAAGGTATAATTAACGTAAGTACCTCTAGATATTTACTCACTGTTGAAAGGAGACCAATTAGACACTTACATGTGAGAGGTTGTTAACAGATCTTGGGGTACCAGGGAGTTCTCCATGTGGAGATCACGTTACAGTGCTTTCTGCCCCACTATAGACAGAGGGGGCAACATGCAGTCCAAACAACAAACAGTTTATAAGCACCGACTGCTTGATGAAAGGCTGCCTGCTCCACTGGCCTTGAATTCAGACAAACATGGACTTAAATCCTGGCTTGACCAATTTGTTAAATGTGTGAACTAGCACTAGTTTCTTAACTTTTCTGACCCTTAATTTCTTTAACTCTGAAGTGGGCATTTGTTAAGGGGGATTAAATATCACAACAGCCACTGTTCCCACAGTAGTAAATGCTCAAGATATGGTAGCATTGAAATTATTTGTAGGCTTCTTCTAGGAACACTGTTGTTTGTAAAATGCTTTACAGCTTTTTTTTTTTTTTTTTTTTTTTACTGTACAAATTTGTAGCAGTTGAGAATATTACAGAACCTGGTTCAACAATTAAAATAATAGTTTGTTTACCACAAAGAAGCTCTTCTAATGATTGCATCTCCCTTATCCTTTTTTTTTTTTTTTTTTTTTTTTTTTTTTAGAAACCACTTTAACCCTGGCAGTGCCTGAATGTCAGCCCTGGGAGAAACTGAAGAATTCAAGATGTGTTTGTAAAATGCCTTATGAATGTGGGTAAGCTCTGTCTTTGCTCACCTCTCTCTGGTTTGTTTTACTCAAGATAAAAAATGTTTTGGTAGATGCTAGTGTCTCTGTTTGATCCAGGGTGTTGCTTACCAAGGGTTAAAGATTTTTGCTTGCATTTTAATCTGGCCCATCTGCTGTCTGTTACTTGCCTGGGTCTCTGGGGCTGACACCAGTGGTGTTAAGCAGTGTTCTACTCTGTCTAGAGAAAGGCTGAAGGACTTGGGCACTGCTAGTTTTCTACATAAGATGGGGCAACATGAAAACTTGAGGATTTAGAGCTTACAAAGATTAGGATTGAAATTCCCTTGAAAGATACACTTTTTAAAAAAAAGTTTATTTCTTTATTTTGAGAGAGACAGAGACAGCACGAGCAGGGGAGGGGCAGAGAGAGAGGCAGAGAGAGAATCCCAAGCAGGCTCCGTGCTGTCAGCACAGAGCCCAATGCAGGGCTGGAACTCATGAAACTGTGAGATCGTGACCTGAGCTGAAACCAAGAGTCCATGCTTAACCAACTGAGCCACCCAGCTGTCCAAAGATACACTCTTAATGCAGTACCAATAGAGATACTGGTTTCTGAAATGTCCGTGTCTCTAGATGTGCATTACGAGAATTCCACCCAACTTGAAATCACTCCACCGTGGGTGGATATCTGAAGTAGGTACTAGATGTCTATGTTATGGTCCTAGTTGGACAGATTGTATGATTGCATTAAGACAAGAGGAGGTTCCCTAGGGGGACAGTTTACAGAAGTGTGGGCAGAGTGAAAGAAACTGGCAGGACTCCCACAGGGCAGTACTCCCAGACTGCAAACAACCAGGGTACAAATCCATGCCCCCAGGCCTGCAGAGTGACAAGAGGGGCTTTTTTTTTTTTTAAGTTTTATTTGTTTATTTATTTATTTATTTATTTATTTATTTATTTTGAGAGAGAGAGAGAGAGAGAGAGAGAGAGAGAGAGAGGCTGTGTGAGCAAGGGAGGGGCAGAGAGAGAGAGAGAGAGAGAGAATCCCAAGCACTGATACTGCAGAGCCCATTGTGAGGTTCAAACCCAAGGAACAGCAAGACCATGACCTGAGCTGAGATCAAGAGTCAGAGGCTCACAGGAAGAGGTGCTCCACAGGAAGAGCTTTTATGCAAAGCTGGAGACAGAGGAAGATTCTGTACAGATGGCAGCCAAGGAAGAGTGGAGTCCCTCATTTTAGGGACCTCAGAGACTGCCCTGGAGTGAGTCAGGGCAGTAAATATCCCTTAAATCTCCTGCCATTGCTCAAATTCACCTGAAGCTAGAGGACAAGGAAGTCTATGGATATAGCTCATAGTTTCAGCCTTCCTGGCAGCGGGGGGAAGAGTGGAGAACCAATCTGGAGACACAAATGGGAGATATCTAGGCTAAGACATTTATTGGTCATCTTTAAGGCTAAGAATCAAAACACAAATTTACTGACCAGTTACAGTTTGCCCTTGAACAACATGGGGGGTTAGGGGTGCTAATCCCCTCGCATAGTCAAAAATCCACATATAACTTTTTTTTTTTTTTAAACTTTTTTTTTAAACGTTTATTTATTTTTGGGACAGAGAGAGACAGAGGATGAACAGGGGAGGGGCAGAGAGAGAGGGAGACACAGAATCAGAAACAGGCTCCAGGCTCTGAGCCATCAGCCCAGAGCCCGACGCGGGGCTGGAACTCACAGACGGTGAGATCGTGACCTGGCTGAAGTCGGACGCTTAACCGACTGCGCCACCCAGGCGCCCCTAAAAAAATCCACATATAACTTTTGACTTCTCCAAAACTTAACTACTGAGAACCTACTGTTGACTGTTACCAATAACATATGTTATGTTACCAATAACATAAATATTTTCTATGTTATATGTATTATTTACTGTATTATTATAATAAAGTAACTAGAGAGAAGAAAATGCTATTAAGAAAATCATAAGGAAGAGAAAATACATTTATAGTACTATACTATATCCAAAAAACCCAGGGGCACCTGGGCGGCTCAGTAGGTTAAGCGTTCAATTCTTGGTTTCAGCTCAGGTCATGATCTCGCAGTTCATGGGATTGAGTTCTACTTCGAGAGCCTGCTGGGGATTCTCTCTCCCCCTCTCTCCCTGCTCCTCCCTTGCTCGAGTGCGTGCGCACTCTCTACATAAATAAATAAACATTAAAAAAAAATCCATGTATAAGTGGACCCACGCATGCAGTTAAAACCAATGTTGCTCACGGATCAACTATACTTGGCTTTCAATTATTATTGTCATCAAAACACATATCCAACTCCTTGAACACTCACAGGGAGTAATGGTGATTCTGGTGGCATCTTATAAGATGTAACTTCTTGTGAGAAAAAAATATAGCTAAATAGTGTAAATGGCAGTGGTGGTCAGCCCAGAATATTCTGACTGTGGTGTTATTTTTTATTAATCATTGTTGACTTTGATTCACTTTCATCCTCTTTCCAACTTCTCTGATTCATTTAGTTTATCTGCAGCCTGCTGTTTAGAGACTTGGTGTGAGCTTTCTATCAGATACTGATAACCAGGTGGCTTTACAAGGTCTCTGCCCTTCAAGCTGTTCTGAGTAGTTCGATTTAAGGTTTAAATAAACAGATAAAAGAAAGATATAAGGATTTGTTTTTGTGATGTAAACAACTCCAAGTAAGTTTAGCTCTTGGCCATTGAAGAAAGTATGAGAGCTAAACATATATAAACATAAATATAGACTCCGTCTACTATACAAAAATACTTTGTTGTCTAAGGTTTCACTATAGTAATGCTTTTCTTATCCATCAACATTCAGAAATGTCCTTGTTTTTATTAGTGACATTTCTACAAAGCTGAATCTCACCATTTGAGTACCAGTGCTTAAGGAAAAAAAGTAATAATTTTTCTAGAACTATTTCTAAACTATTTTGTAAACATAGATACTTTAAAAAATCCTATTGAAAAATAGTTTCATCTTCCCTTGAAGCATCGGTCATGAAGTGTTGCACAATGCCGTGTTATGGACAGGAACTCTCCAGGCTACCGGACTGGGAGGAGCTAACTTCTCCTGCCTTCAATGGTCCCACAGGACTGCCATCTCTGAATGTGTGATCTTTGCTGATTTTCTGTCTCCTTCCTGCTTGTCAACCCACCCGTGTCCCCAGCAGACCTTGCCTTCTCTTCTAAGTTGCTGTATCTGATCTGCTCTAGATGAAACAAGATCAACACTAGATATCTCAGCTTGTAAAACTTGGGAGCAAATACAGAGCAAAATTTGTTCATCTCGAAGATCTGAGGAGGGTGAGCCCCAGCAATGAAGGAGATTTGAGTGTTTGCTCCATCTTGTTCCTGTGGGTGGTGACATCTGAGGCCCTGAGCTCCCAGCCTCGCCTTTCACTTCACATCCTCCACTTGTAAGAAGGAAAGTCTTCTAAATAATGTAATTTAAAAAATTTGTTTCAGATCCTCCTTGGATGTATGTGCGCAAGATGAGAGAAGCAAAAGGATACTGCCTCTGACAGTTTGCAAGCTGCACGTTCTCCACTGTCAGGGTAGAAATTACACTCTTGCTGATAGGGAGAGCTGCACTCTGCCTGTCGCAGCCCAGAAAGCCTGTGGTGCCTGTCCGCTCTGGGGAAAATGCGATGGTAAGGGGCATTGTGTATTTGTAACTATAACAGTGCTAAGGTAGTAGTACCGAGGTCTTTTATTTTATTTTATTTTTAAATGTTTATTTATTTTTGAGAGAGACAGAGACAGACTGTGAGTGGGTTAGGGGCAGAGAGAGAGGGAGACAAAGAATCCAAAGCAGGCTCCAGGCTCTGAGCTGTCAGCACAGAGCCCAATGCGGGGCTCGAACTCAACGAGCTGTGAGATCATGACCTGAGCTGAAGTCGGAGGCTCAATCGACTGAGCCACCCAGGCGCCCCAGTACTGAGGCCTTTTAAATGGTAGTTTCTAGTTTAGCAGCAGATCCAAGCAGATCCCTGAGGACATGAAAGTCTCAGGCTGGTTTGAGAGTGAACTGTTCTTATCCACAGTCCTCCTTGGGGAATGGGGTATGTCAAGTATCTAAGAAGACAAGGAGACATTCTTGATGGTTTGAATGTCCTCCCAAACACTGGTGATTCTCATTCCACCTTCATGATTTTTGCTCTGTCCTCCTAGTATCCATATAATGAACTCATTAAAAAAAAATAGACTCACAGGGGTGCCTGGGTGGCTCAGTCAGTTAAGAGTCTGACTTCAGCTCAGGTCATGATCTCACAGTTTGTGAGTTCGAGCCCCACATCGGGCTCTCTGCAGACAGCTCAGAACCTGGATCCTGCTTCAGATTCTGTGTCTCCCTCTCTCTCTGCCCCTCCCCACCCCTCTCAAAAATAAGTAAACATTTTAAAAAATGGACTCACATAAAAATAACTTTTTTAAAAAAGGAAATTTTATCATTTCTTAAAAAGAAGCATCACTTGCCATAAATATTAGATGACCACAAAAATACATATGAAACAAAATAAGGTTGTAGATTCTAGCCAGATGCTGCTGGCAGCTTGAGGGATGCTGCTTCTTTGGGATAAAGGGAGTTCAGCAAGTGTTAGGGGGTGTTAAAAGCATATCAGTGCCAAGGTGACACTTTCTCCTAGAAGTAATAAAAAGAATTTGAAGAGAATAAAAAAAGGAGTTACTCTTTCAAGTTGTGGTTCAAGATTGGCCGGTCAACTGTGTCCATATAGCACTTACAGTGATCTTGAACAGCACCCCTGCATGGCCTACCTCCCACAGTTTCAGGTATATTATCAAGGGGGAAAGCCTGGCTGGCTGCAGCCAAGTCACTGCCTCAGTTTCCCCATCTGTAAATTTGGGAGCCGGACTATGTGATCTGTGAGATCTCTGCCAGCAACTCAGGTCCTCCCCATGGCCTGTGCCAGCCGGGCCCCTGCTCTCTCGCTCCTGGACTGTTGGCCACCCAGGCGATGACATACTGAACTCTAAACCATTGGGTTGGGTTAGGATCGCCTGTCACCAGTGAGCTTGTCATTCCTTTTGGAGACACCTGGCTGGTGCATTCCAGCCTGACACCTAAGTGCACACTGTGAATTCTCTCCCAACTCATTTCTGGCTTTTTTTTTTTTTTTAATTTTTTTTAATGTTTATTTTTGAGAGAGAGACAGACAGACTGTGAGCAGGGAGGGGCAGAGAGAGAGGGAGACACAGAATCTGAAGCAGGTTCCAGGCTCTGAGCTGGCAGCACAGAGCCCAATGCAGGGCTTGTACTCAGGAACTGTGAAATCATGACCTGAGCCGAAGTTGGCACTTAACCCCACCCAGGCGCCCCAGACTTGTTCTCCGCCCCCCTCCCCCCCACTGTCCCCGCACCCCATATGTTGTCTTCTGTGTTTTATGCCCTCTCTCTTAAAGTAAGTTGAGTTCTTTTCTTTGTCTCTGTTTGAGCCTTGAGTCAACTTGGTCTGTGTTGAGGTCTCCTTATCTGGTCAGGGGTTGAGGGCTTACTCAGCTTCTGGCTCCCCTAGCCAGCAGCCCAGAGGAGGAAGAGAGAGAGGGAGTGCCCCTGATTTGGAGAGGGCTGGCCCATGCGGGCCCCCCCCCCCCCCCCCCCCCCCCTCGGGCGGCCTGGTGCCAGCCTAGAACCCTCCTCATGCTGAGTGGAGCGCAATGCTGGGCTTCCCTGGCCCTCCCCCTCTCCCAGGGGAGAGTTGATGCCTCCAGGCAGGAGCTTGGAGAGATCTCCGCAGGGCATCGGGACTTTGGAGGTAATGTGACTTCACTCTCCCACCTCCTCCATGTGCCATTAAGCCTCTGCCGCTCTTCTTTCCAGCCCAGAGCAGCAAATGTGTCTGCAGAGAAGCATCGGAGTGCGAGGAAGGCGGCCTTAGCGTCTGCGTGGAAGTGAACGGTGTGGAGCAGACGATGACCGAGTGTGCGGCCGGCGCACTCAGGTGCCAAGGGCAGGGCGTCAGGGTCACCAGCACGCGGCCCTGCGGAGCGGGGACCCCGTAGGCTCCCGTGGCCCTTGGCTGGTTCCGAATCCCGCAGCTGCCGTGGCTGAGGTAAAACGTACATACGGTCACTTCTCCCAACTGCCAGCCACCAGTAGAAGCACCGACCTGGCGTTCTGCCAAACCTGAACCGAGATGCTCCTGTTCTTCCTATTTAAAATGCCAGTCAGGATGAACAGTACGCACGAACCTTTGCGTGAGCTGTGTGTTCCTGGACAAATTGCTGACACGCCTGGACCTTGACTTGTTAATCTGAAAATGAGAGGATTAGACCGGAGAGCCTGGAATACTCCCTTCAGCCCTATGATTCTTTTAAGTATGATGGACTCCACCCATGGGCCCGAAACACTGTACAAAAGGATTAGGAAAACGGTAAGATTAGAGAGGTTGGCTTCTCTCAGTGAAGCTGAATGCAAACGGGACCTTAAATGGAAAAAGACAGATACAAATATCCATCCCAAGGAGTAATCTCTCGCCTGGCCCTGTGGACTCCAGTACCACATGTAAGGATCCTTAAATCTTACTGGGAAATGGAACCGCTGAAATTTCAGAACCGAGTTTATTGTGGTACCTTCTGCCTTCTTGTCGAACAACAAACACAATCCCGTCTTCTCTTTGGGGCTTTTCTTTAGTGTGTGTCAAACACGAGGACTGTAATTTGCCCACTTTCTCCCCTTTTCTTCTGTAGGAAACATCAGTTCATGCCTGGGCTGTTGAGTGATCATATATTTGACAGAATAGTTTTCTCTAATGTGAATACATGCTTGGATTTTTCAGAGGGCCATACAGGTACATCAGTGTGAGACATTGGCCTTCTATTTATTCCTTATTCATCTTTCATCAAAACAAAAAACTAGCTGTGGGAGATGACATGAGTGGGCTTAAATGGAATTTAAAATATGCTTTTATATACAAATAATATCTGTGTACTTTTCTGATACTGATAAAGACATTTCAGCAAAACCTTAGTTAAAATGACAGTGATTAAAATCTCATTAAAGATACTATCCTTTGGAATTTTTTGATCTGTATCATGTTTAATTTTAAAGAATCTTCCCATGAAGAATGGCTAATGTGTTCTTTTTAAATATATTTTTATTCTTTAAACTACTTTATTGAGGTATGATTGACATGTAAAAAGCTGTACTGATTTAATATGTACAACTGGATGCGTCTGGGGAGAAGTATATACCAATCAAGACCATAAACCTATCCATCACCTCCCAAAGTTTTCTCCCACCTCTCTTATTATCTTTCTTATTTCTTATTTATTCTTATTTCTCACTTATTTTTATTAAAAATGTCACCTAAGATCTTTCTTCTTAGAAAATCTTAAGTATATGTGAAAGGATTGTTAGCTATAGGCACTATAGCACATAGCTACAGCAATGCTATGTAGTGGATCTCCAGAACTTATTCATCTTGCATAACTAAACCTTGGCACTCTTTAAGCATCACATCCCCGAATGCCCTTCTCCTCAGCCCCTGGCAGCCACCATTCTACACTCTGCTTTATGAATTTGACTTTTATTATTTATTTATTTGAGAGAGAGGAGCGGGGAGAGGCGAGAGAGAGAGAGAGAGAGAGAGACGGAGAGAGAGAATCCTAAACAGTCTCCACACTCAGTCCAGAGCCCTACGTGGGGCTCAATCCCATGACCTTGGGATCATGGTCTGAGCCAAAATCGAGAGTCAGACACTCAACCAACTGAGCTACCCAGGCATCCCTTGAATATTTTAGATCATCCTATACGTGAGATCATCTAGAATTTCTTTCTTTGTTTGGTTTATTTCATTTAGCGTAGTGTCCACATTCTTGTCCACCCACATTGTTGTAAATGGCAGGATTTCCTTCCTTATGAAAGGCTGAATAATATTCCATTGTGTGTATGGAAAATGTACCACATTTTCGTTATTCATTCATCCCTGGATGAACACTTAGGTTGTTTCTGTATCTTGGCTGTTGCGAATAATGCTGCAATGAACATGGGAGTGCAGCTACCTCTTTGGGACCCTGATTTCAATTCCTCTGGATATTTGCTCGGAAGTGGAATTACTAGACCCCATGGTAGTTTTATTTATAACTTTTTGAGGAACCTCCATACTGTTTTCCACAATGGCTGTCTCAATGTGTTCCTACTTGAAATCCACGTAGGATCCAGGTCTAGCTTTATATACCACATTGTCCCTTGAGTGAAGAGTCAGATAGAATATATGGAAGTTATAAGGAAGCAGGTTTAAATAGATTGAAAACAATAATGTTCAGAAATGCTTAATTGAGGCCAACTGCATTTGTTAGAGGTTATAAGGGAGTTAATTTCTACCCTGGGTAGGGAGACAGATTTGAAATTGCAGGCCCAGATGCAGATCCAAAAACCAAGTTGAACAAGTAATTTATTTGGGAGGAAGAGATCAGTATCCTTTCAATAACTTCTCCTTTTGTCTTAAGCTAGTATAAGGTTAAATTTCTACTACTTGTGCTCTACCACCCTCCCTTCCTAATTGATACAGAGGATATGGTAAACATTATCGAATGCTATAGGAGAGGTCAAATGAGGTCTGAAGCAAAGAAATTAGCAGATTTGACAACTAAGATTTGAGAAAGAAGTTTCACAGACTTAGTGAAGGAGAAGTAAGGGGTTAGTGAACAGTTGGTGGAGAAGGAGGGAGCAGGAATGAGGTAGAGAGATGCCATCTTGAAGTATTAAATTTTGTACTTTCTTTCTTTTCTGAACATTCTTACACTCAACCTTTCTTCTAGTTAGAGATGTTCATGATTGCTTATAAGAGTATTAGGATCATTGCAGTAAATCTGCAAGGAGAAAGTAACTTTCAACATTAAGTCTTTTAAAGTGTTTTGAAACTTGAAAATAAGCTCTTGAACATCTAAATATAAGGCTCAGGGGAAAGCTAGGAGCACTGTTTATGCCATGAAAATTGACTGCAAAGAGAAGAGAGGGAGTGTGAGAATTCCTCCCGTTTGCCCTTCCCGCTGCCTCGGACCAGGTGAGGGTCATCTGGGTTAGAGAGGGCTATAGCCTTGGAGGAGAAGGCAGAAAGTGCTGGAATTAAAGCCTCTGGACCTAGTGGGGGACAGAAGAAGAGGAGGGAATTGGCAGGTGCATTAACCATTCCTAGCCTCAGCGAGGTACATGGGAGCCAAGCCTCATCCTCCACGTCATCACTCACAATTTAAGTGGACACAGCAAGTCACCCAGGCAGAGAAGCTGCTTTGGAAGATCTGATCACATTGGAGAGTGTCTTCTTGTGACATTTCCTAATAACTGACCAAATGGAAGTGCTGCTTATCAATGCCCTCAGATTTAGTGAACCTCATCCAGACTGCTCTGCATATAACCTCCCTCCCTTCCACCAACAATCTGGGACACTTGTAATCTCCTGAAACAGAGGAAGGTTCTTATACTCAGGTGCGGGGTACTGGGAGTGTGGGGTGGCAAGCAGAAGTATCTGACAAATGCACCCCGGACCTCTGAGTTACCTGGCAACTGGCCAGCTAACTGGTTAATTGGATCGAGGGCTCCCCTTCTCAGCTGGGAAGGTCATGACTAATCTCAGCTTCATGTGAAAATTATGATCCCATTCTGTTGTGAAGTAGTCACTTTGAGCTGCAGGTGCTGGGCAGATGGTATAACCAACATTCCCTAAAACAGGTTGTTATGTGCCTTTACCTTTGGGTTAAGATAAATATGTGTATTAAGGAATACTTTTGAACCCCATAGCTTATCATCTGTTCTATATTTTCTCTCTGTGGATACCAAAATTTCTTACTCCCACACACTCACTAACCCACCATAAGCATTTGGGTTACTTCGTTTTGTAAAAAAATGTTCATTTTTGGGGCACCTGGGTGGCTCAGTCGGTTAAGCGGCCGACTTCGGCTCAGGTCATGATCTCGCGGTCCATGAGTTCAAGTCCCGCGTCAGGCTCTGTGCTGACAGCTCAGAGCCTGGAACCTGTTTCAGATTCTGTGTCTCCCTCTCTCTGACCCTCCCCCATTCATGCTCTGTCTCTCTCTGTCTCAAAAATAAATAAACATTTAAAAAAATTAAAAAAAAATAAATAAAAATGTTCATTTTTGAGGGAGAAAGGGGGGGGAGAGAGAGAGAGAATATGAGGGGAGAGGGGCAGAGAGAGGGGGACAGTGGATCCGAAGCTGGCTCGGTGATGACAGGAGAGAGTCCGACACAGGGCCGGAAATCATGAACCACAAGATCATGACCTGAGCCGAAATCAGATGCTTAGTTAACTGAGCCAGCCAGGTGCCCTGGCATTTAGATTATTTCTAATAGCTAGTGGAAGTGGTCATCATAAACTTGAAGATAAACTGAAATGCTATGTACTTTGGGTACAAAATGAAGTAGGTGTTCAAGTGTACCTGTTCTTTTTCTGAGGTAGGAGAGGGGTGGGAAGGGACAAGACAAGAGAAAAGAAATGAAAGAGAGGAGAGAGAATCATTTTTAGTACAGGATTAGCAGAAATGAACAGCCACATTTGCCTTGCTACCTACCAGTCCACTGAGATTTTTCCTTCTGGATGGACTAAAGTGTATTGAACACTTGTGCTAGAAATGGAATGACCTGTTTCTTTTTCAGAACACCGAGCCAGAAAGCAACCACAGTAGGAGGCAATTTCCGTTAATATCTGAGAAACCAGAGGTATATGCATGCCTTTCAATTACCTTGGTCTTTCAGGCAGCTCACACATTCGGGGACAGGAAAGCTGATGGCATGATAGGAATCCCTGCCGTGACAACCAAAGCACTTACAATTTGTCTTTTTATTTATTCCTGTCAGGCAAAGCTCCAGATTTACACTCAAAACATCAATCATGTAAGGAAATTTGCTTTTCCAAGCCAAGGGTTAACAAGACTGTATAGAAAGACTGTCGTTGTTTGAGGAGAAATGGGCTGATGGTGACTAGATGCGTAGGAGAAGAAAGACAATAAAATGTTATTTTTGATTTACAGGCTGAGGACAATTTCCTGTGAAAGGACAAACATAAAGAACTGTCCTGTTATTGCTGCCATTTGCGCGCGTCCTTAGGAGAGGAGACTTGCACTGAATTCCAGGGGTGGGGTTTTAGGTACACAACACATCAGTGATGTTTAAGACAGAGATGCATTGACTTGAGGCATAAAGTGTATGTGCTACAGAATGAGTGTCCATTATGTAATAATCAGCTGATCAAGTCGGCTGGGAACACAGAGGGGTCAAGGAATTTTCTATAATTGTGAAATGGAATTTTTCTCATCAAAGGTTAAGTTTCCCAGGCATCCTCAAGACAAAGTGATTAACACAAAAGGCTCAGCATTGATGTGTTATTAGACTATTATACAATCCACGAGTGTATTATGACAGTATTTAATAAATGGCTCCAATAGAACTCTAAGTCTGGAAACTCTTCTCTGCACAGATGCTAAGTATTAAGAGAAACTCCTGAGGTCAGGCATGATGTAAAACTGGACAAGCCAACTAAGTGGATGATTACAGCCCTACTGGATTAAATAGTTTGGTATGATAATAAGGAGCCCTCTGAAGTACTATGGATATGGTGCACAGAATTCATTAAATGTGATTTTCTGCTTGTTCTATCAGTTGTTATTGAGAGTGTTGACATCTCCAACTGTAAGTGTGGATTTATTCATTTGCTTTATGTATTTTGAAGCTCTGTTATTAGGCACATAAACTTTTAGAATCATTATGTCCTCTTGATGAATTGAGCCATTTATTGCCATGAAGTGTCTCTTTATCTCTGATGTATCCTTTGTTTTGAAGTCTACTTTGGATTAATATAGCTATACCAGTTTTCCTTTGACTAGTATAGAAGTAACATATATAAGTGATATATATATAAGTAGAGTATATCAGGGCTCTCCAGAGAAACAGACTCTATCTATGTATCTATCTATCTATCTATCATCTATCTATAAAATATGTTTATTATATATTTATTATGAGGAGTTGTCTTATGTGATTGTGGAGCTCAAGTAGTTCTGCAATCTACCATCTACAAGCTGTAGATCCAGAAAACCCTGGTATAAATTCTAGTCTGAGTCTGAAGCCCTGAGAGCCAGGAGCGCCAATGATGTA